TGCAACGTCTGGCGGAGGTTTGTTCGGCGGCGGCAACAAACCAGCTACTGGCGGCGGTCTTTTTGGGGCGAGCAACACTGCCCAGACGACCACAGGCGGACCATCGCTCTTTGGTGGCGGCAATCAACAACAGCAGTCCACGGGCGGTGGCCTATTTGGAGCCAGTACTAATCAGCAAAAGCCTGGTGGTCTTTTTGGTGGCTCTGCTCAGACGGGAGGTCTCTTTGGTGCCCAGAATAACCAAGCACAGGGCAGCTCCCTGTTCGGTGGAAGCACCAACCAGCAACAGATCCAAAATGCTCTGGGCAATTCCCTCCTGGGCAACACACAACAGAACAACAATGCTCCCCAAAGCTTGACTGCTAACCTAAGCGATGTTTCGGCATACGGAAGCCCGTCCTTGTTTGCTGGACTTGGCGGGAATGACGTTGCCAACCCTGGACCTCTCGCTACGCCTCTGAATGGCAACTCGAAGCCACGAAAGAGTTCCATTCTCCCAATGTACAAGCTGGCCCCAGCTACCGCTGCCTCGCGCTTTGCAACACCCCAGAAGAGAGGATTCGGGTTCTCATACAGCTCTTATGGCACCCCCGGTGGCAGCCCTGCTAGCAGCATTTCCAGCACGCCCGGTGCCATGGGCCGTAGCCTTCTTGGTGCGAGCTCTAGTGGCTCTCTAAGCAAGAGTATCTCTGCGAGCAACCTCCGTCGTAACTTCAATGCTGAAGACAGCATCCTTGCCCCGGGTGCCTTTTCCTCCAGCTCCAGTGCTCGTTGGTATGGCAGCACGGGCTCCAAAAAGCTTGTTATCAATCGGGATATTCGAAGTGATCTGTTCTCTACCCCCCAGAAGGATAAGACTGAAGTCAATGGAAGTGCTCGCAAGCTGTCTAAGCGCGTGAGCTTCGATACTAGCAATGTTGAGTCGGAAGACGGAACTCCTGTCCGGAACGCTCTTCCTGCTCCCGAAGACACCCCTAAGTCTCAGCCTGACGAGGCTACTCCCCGTCAGAACAGAACTACTAACGGTGTGAACGGTTCACAGACCCCGGAAATGGAACAGGTCAAGGGCAACGAACTTGCTATTGTGCACGAGGAGGACAATTCTGCCACCCCAGAAGCACGTGCACCACTCGGGTTTGAGAATGCGCCTGGCGATTACTGGATGCAGCCAACTCGAGATGAGCTGCAAAACATGAACAGAATGCAGCGCCAGCGTGTGGATAACTTTACGGTTGGCCGTGACAACGTTGGCTCTATCAAATTCAAGGTTCCGGTTGATATCAGCAGCATCGAGCTGAAGGACCTGTGCGGTGGTATCATTCAATTGGAGCCTCGATCGGCTACCGTTTATCCAGTCCAAGCTAAAAAGCCTCCTGTTGGCAAGGGTCTCAACGTTCCCGCCCAGATTTCCCTAGAACAGTCTTGGCCTCGCGGTGGCCGTGATAAGAGAATCACTAGCGATCCCAAGCGATTCAACAAGCACATCGAGAGACTAAAGAGAATCCCAGATACCACTTTCGAGAGCTATGATAAGGAAACAGGCGTCTGGACCTTTGGCGTCGAGCATTTCACCACGTATGGCCTGGACGACTCTGATGAAGAATCAGATGAGGAAATGGTTCCTCCACCTGGTCTAGCCACACCACCTCAGCGCGTCTCCAACGACGCCGCTGCCATCGATGTCTCAAACCGTGAAGACGGCCGTCCGCGCTTCCGCCAGAACGCGGCCCTGCCAGGAGCATTTGATGAACAAAACGATTTGTATGAGCGTGAAAACATCGACAAGCAGTCTTTTTTAGGGATTAGCTCCGCGGATTCGGCGCCCAATGATGTTCGGCTTTCACTGGAGGAGGATTACGCCAGTGAAAGGGGCGACGAATATGATCTGTCCGAGGATGAAGATATGACGAGGTCTTTCATTGGACAGCATCTTGCCGCGGAGCTCGACGATACCTCGTCAGAGAATGAACAGGATGCCAAGAGGAGTACTCCTGGTGGCATTCTTAGGGCTCGCATGAGAGCCATGAAGGATCAAGTTGGCCCGGTGACTCTCGAAGTCGCTGACGGCGATGATTGGATGGAAATGCTCAGGAAAACAGTCAGTCCTGTGAAGCGAGACCGTCAATTGCTGAGGGAAATGAATGATTCCCCCTTGAAGTTTGCCTTAGGGATGGATGGTGGAGACGACAACGTTGAACAAGACTTGCGCAAATCGTCTATTTGGGGGAAGAGCATGTCGAAAACACAGAGAACAAGTGGTCTCGCGAGCACGCAAATGGCAGCGGATAAGGGACGTGGATTCGCGACAAGCATCGACTTGATGAATTCTCTGTTCGAGAAGCCCAAGCCAATGCGGCAAAACCTTCGCGCTTCTGTGCCAGCCAAAGGCTTTCCTCAGGTTGGTGCCCTAGTCCACAGTTGAAATTTTCGGTTTGAGCTCACGTCAGAATGAAAAAATTTGGCGATTCTTGATACTCATGTATTTAACAGCTTTGGAAATAAATCGAATACTAAAATCTTACTTTCTTTGAAATTAGTGGCCCTACGAACGTCAAGACAAGAATTTTCCCGTCAACAGTGAAGAAAAGGCATATCATAACGCCACTCGCCCAACTTGGGGTCCCGACGAGACGCTGGTAGTAACTCGGCCGTTGGATACAATGCAATCGCGGCGAAGTTTCCGTGGCAATTCGGATCTTCTTCAGTTCCAACGCTCTGGGATTCAAACCGACAGGCAAGACATTCGCCTTGCCAAGCTTTCCGCGGAGGTATGCTCTTCTGGCCGACACATCCTAAAAATACACCTAGATACTGATCTGAATAGTCATCCAAGAAATTTCTTCGGGCTCAGGACAAAGTAACAGAAATCAGATTAGTCGGCGATATTCCAATGGCTACGCTACGTGCGGGCAGTCTGCAAGACGTCTTTCACCACCAGGAGATGAATGACCCGGGCCACGTCAACGAGAAGCGTGTCTGGGAGCTGGCAAGCATTTTATTTGACGGTGCCGCAAACTCTGGCGAGCCCGGGCCCGACCACGTGTCAAGAAAACAGAAGTTGTCACAATTTTGGACTGAGCTCGTGGAACAAGCGTCGACTACTAATGTTGGTCTTGCTGGTTCTAGCGAAGAGAAGGCCGTAGCAAGTCTGGCTGGTCACCGTATCACCGAGGCGTGCAAATTCCTGCTCGATGGTAAGAATTTCCGCTTGGCAACTCTGGTTCCTCTGATCGGCACGAGCGTCGTGGCGAAGAAAGACATCCGTGAACAGCTCAAAGCTTGGCATGATTCCAAGATGCTCTCAGAGTTTTCAGAGGCAATTCGCACTGTCTACGAGCTACTAAGCGGCAACGTGTGTGTTTGTGAAGGGGTGAAAAATGTTCCTGTTGAGGATCGAATGGAATCGTTTGTTATTTCAAAGAAGTTTGGCTTGGACTGGAGACAGGCGTTTGGCCTTCGCCTGTGGTACGCCATTTCCCAGCAGGATAGTCCTGCGCTGGCAGTTTTGAAGTTCAAGGACGACATCAACCAAGACAAGGAAGAGCTTCCACGGCCATGGTACCATGAACAAGGACTGAAACCAGTATGGAATGATACGGAAGAAGGGACCAGGCAGGACCTATTATGGGGCCTCCTTCAATTGTATGCCGATAAGAACGTCGACCTCGAGGCCATTTTGCGGCCAGAAAACTCGCAACTCTCTCCGCTCAACATGAGACTATCCTGGCAACTTGGACAGGCGTTAGTTGCCACGGGCCAGGTGTCGTTTGGCAAGGACGGAGAAGAAAAGGCGGATGCTTCCACAATTGCATATGCCTCTCAGCTGACGGCGGCGGGTGAGTGGTTGGAGGCAGTCTTTGTCTTGTTGCACCTTAACAACTCCAGTGTCCGTACGAAGGCGATTCAGGAACATTTATGTCGACACGCTGGCATGATTGGCCCCGACACTGGCGCGACCTTTACACTGCTGACGGAAAAGTTTCGAATTCCCGCATCCTGGCTATGGGAAGCGCTCGCGTTGTACATGCGCAGTGTCAAGAAGGATGCTTCTGCCGAGGTGCATTGCCTCCTTCGTGCTGGGGAGTTTGTTGAAGCCCACCGGGTCCTGGTACAACAAGTTGCTCCCCAGGCTGTTATTGAACGAGACTACGCTACACTCTCGTCCTTGCTGTCACAATTCCAAGGCCAAGCTGAGTCCATCCCGGAGTGGACTCAAGGTGGCGAGATATATGGCTATTTCTTGAGTCTCGTGCAGCATCATGGCAAGGGCGAGAGCGCCCCTCATCCATTGCTTGAAAAGTTGGTGGCAGGATTGAACGTGATGAACGAGCATGTGGGAGAGACGGAAGTCTTGCGATATGCTGCAGTGTCTGACATGGCAGACGATACAGCACGGGAAATACTGAAGTTGGCCAAGAAGAAACAGGTATGTCACAGGGAATAACACGGGCATTCCCGTAAAAGATTTGCGTTTCTGACTTTATAACTAGGATGTTGAACTGCGATCGAGGATCTTGAACCTGCCGTTGACGCAAGATCGGCTGCTGGCGTATTCGGTGGATCTTGGTATGGATCGATACCGGGAGGTAATGTCCCATTAGGAGAGAATTAAAGCATCATGGGAAAGCTGGGGACATCAAGTGTAAATTGACTTGGAGAGGACGTTAATTTGGCGGAATGGGAAAAAGTCGGGAAGCCAACTGTGAAGGCTTTTGCATAGGGAGGGATAGGCGGCTATCAAGGGACAGGACGTGTATGCGAAGGTCTGTAGAATAGTAGCGTTTTAGATAGAATTCATTAATGCCTTGCCATGAGGTTCTATTTCAAGTGCCTGTGTTTTTGTTATGGACATGTTAGTCAGTGAATCGGAGTGAAGCACAATGTTGGGCGTAAACCAAGCATGGCCTGATTGATATCCACCCTCGCCAGGGCCTCACGTCTTGGGGGTGATGCCACGTTGTACATGCAAATTCACGATTCGCGAACCCCTTACCTTGATCATGTCGAAGCCCAAAAACTGGCCCGGCCACCTCCCCTACCTCAAGTGCCCGCTCCACGCCAAAGACCTGACACCGAACCAACGCCAGGCGCTGTGCGCGAAGCCGGCCTCCGTGCCCTCCATCCCCGCTTCGTCAACCCTCACGCCCTCCCCCAACGTCAAGATACAGTCGATTCGTGATGCGTCACACCCGGCCAACGGCCAGCTCGGCCTGTTTGCGGCCCAGGACCTCAAGCCGGGGGCATTTATACTCGCGTACCTGGGCAGAGTGCACGGCGGGGCCGAGTCATCGGAGGAGAGCGACTATGACCTGTGGCTGGACAAGGAGGCCGACGTTGCGGTGGATGCTGCGGCGGAAGGGAACGAGGGCCGGTTTGTGAACGACTACAGGGGCGTGAGGGACAGGGCGAATGCTGTTTTCGGGACGGGCTGGTGCGAGAGATGGGGGCAGGTTTGCGTAGGCGTTTGGGTCTGCGGGAAGGACGGCGGCGGCGGCGGCAGCGGCAAGGGCAAGGGGAAGAAGGACGGGGGCATACGGAAGGGGGAGGAGATATTGGTCAGCTACGGGAAGGGATTCTGGGAGGAGAGGAATCGCGGGGCGTAGAAAGGAGGGCGTTGGTGATTCTGAGTCTCGGCCTGCGTGGCAGGGACCGCCTTGGTGCTGGAGGATGAGGTCCGACTTATTTCTGTAGCTGGATGCAGAGCTCGTTGCGGGTGAGACGGCTGGCTGAACTTGGTCACGCTGGAGTTAAAGATTGTGAACAACTAACTGGTCGAGATCATCTGATGTTGAAACTGATGTCGAAACTGATGTCGGCTGGACTGGACTGGTCCTTACGCCAGGGACTCAACATGGTTGCAGTCACGTCGTGATCGTCTCCGCAGTGTCTGCGTCAATGAATGCATATCAAGTATCCGTGCATGACGGGCTGACACTTGCGAGGAGCCTACTGCTTTGTTTGAACATTTCTAGTCTTCGTGTTATACATCGCTCTTGTGAAGTCAATCACCCAAGATCCTAAACCTACACCCTACAAAACAGGGCTGCATCCTTTGCTCCGCCCATTCCCCAAATTCGCCCATACGCACTTGATAGTATTAAAACAGGATAAATATGGTCACCGCCTTGCCGCGACATGGTCCGAGATATCATCAATCATTCATCTTCCCCCTCTGCATCGACGTCTTCGCCATCTGATGCCGCTTTCCCAGCTTCAGATCGAGAATCCGAATCGCGTCTTGAAACCTTGGAACTGCCATTGGCCGCCTTGCTTTGGTTGGTCCCTGCCGTGGAAACAAGTACTCGGACTTCGTCTTGGGCCGGCTCTTCATCCGGATTCTCTGCCGCTCCAGGGTCCCTGCCCTCGGCCAAGGCCTTGAGCCGGGCCTGTTTTTCTCTCCAGCCGGGTGGGAGGCCTGGGCCACTGTCCGCATTACCATAGTCAGACTTTTTGGTTCCTTTGGGCCACCGGCCGGGACCACGTCCCGTCCCTCCAGACTTCCTTCTCGAGCTGTTGTTGCGCGGTCGACTTGCGGCAGGTCGACGGGCACTGCCACTTGGCCTAGACCTGGGCCTGGGCCTGGCGGATGAGCTGCTGCCATTGCGAGGAGCCGATGGCCGGCTCACACTGGGCCGGATCCGATCACGACGACCCCCTGGTACCGGTGGGAAGATCTCGAACCGGGACGCAGGAATGTCCCTGTATGGCGCATCCCAGGACTCTGGTTCGACTTTGGTCGTTGCATCCACCATGCCCTGATCTTCCGGATCCGCATTTTCCTTGTCTTCAGTCTTGACCTTCTCGATAGACTTGACTGGCAAGGCAGGCTGTTCGCTGCCTTGCTGGCTAGCAAGAGTGGGCTCTGGTTGCGAATCGGACTTGTCAACGCCATTCAAAGTGCTTTGCATGCCGCGCGCATGAGCCGCTGTCAGAGTAGCCCCCTCTTGAATTTTGGCCTCATCGTCCTCTCTAGGGGCAATGGTGTTGATTGGCGGGCCAAGCTCGAAATTGACTACGTTGCTTCGGCCCATAACATATGGCGTCCAGGCAAGAGCTGTTGGCTTCAACTGTACGTAGCCTTTCGACTGCCACTTGCTAACATAATTACGACAGTAATCCAAGTCCACCCGGAAAGCATAGAGGTGGGTTTGGGGATCTCGCACCAGGGCTCGCAATCCTTCTAGAGCAGAGACAACGTCGTCGGGTGTCATTCCGGTATTGGTGGATATCTTCTTGATACTCAGTCCCTCGCGTTTACGTGTATCGCTTTCCATGTAGCCGAGGAAGTATCGACAGAGTTCCAAGCGCCAGTAATTGCGGTATGAGACTAGGCCCATATCCGACAGTGGTTTCTCCGGAGAGCCAGTCTTTTCTTCGGCCTTGGTGAGAAGATAGGAGAAGTCGATGAGTAGATTCCCATAGCCCTTCCTCTGATGAATGGGCAGCGTTAGAATACAGGACACGTTATTTTGGCTGCTAGCCCGCTTCTCCTTTGAGAAGTAGCCCACAAAGTGATAGCCAGTGTCGTCGAACTCGCACAGAACATAGAACAAAAATGGTTCTACATCATAATACAACGTCTTGGAGCCGAGAAACAACTTCGCGAGAAGGCAAAGGTTTTGGCAATAGACGGGATGTTTCCGACCATCAACTTCAAATATTGAGACGGATTCGTGCCGGTAAATTTCGTCTCCCGGGGGGTGCTTTGTGCCGCACTTTAATTTGTGACGCCAGGCCACATAGTCCGAGTTCATGTACTTGAGGCAAAATTCGCAAATGTACAAGACGCGATTCCTGCTATATTCTGCTGGGTACGGCGCAGCATACCAGGTATCAATTTCCCACCCACCAAACTCAATGCATTCAATCTGACTGGCATTATCGCTTGCCTTCTTAGGCTTGCGGATAGGTAAGTCAGCTTCTGCCTGCATTGCCAGTACCCGCGCTCTCCATTCGTCTTCGGCTTTCTGTTTGGCGTGCTCGAACTTCTTGCGATCCTCAGGGGACGGAAGGGTCTTTGATGTGTCTGCCTCGGCTTCTGTTAATATGCCACCATAAGGCCTTCCCTTCATCTCCTCCGTCTCTTTATCAAAGAAGGAATAGAATGGTTGGGAGTACGATTCCGATGTAAATGGGGTTGGCATGGTGGAGATGAGGGCCGGTAGATTTCCAGTAGAAGCTGGAGTAGGAGGAGGGCGAGCTGGCGTAGATCGTGGTGCCTGTGGTGGCCGAGCGCTACTTCCCCCTACCCGTCGTCGATCCCGTTTCCGCCTCGATAGAATTTCTTTGAGATTGCCTGGGCGAACCTCGATTTTGATAACTAGAGAGGTACGCGATCGTTTCTCGATAGTCACCGGCGGCGGTCGTGTGACTTTGAGGCGCGTGATTCTTGATGATGCAGCCCTTGCCGCGTCCCCGGAACGACTATCCTGCGCAGAGTCGTCTCGATCTGTGCCGTCAATTGACTGATTCCTTCGACGCTTTCTAATCGCCAACGTGGCATCGTCTGCCTCTGCAGATGCTGACTTGCGCTTCCGCATAGGCCTAGGGCCATCTATAGGATAGTCCTCGAGGACAAGCTCGTCAGTGCCAGAGCGATCACCCGAACTACCGTTCGCCAGCGCTACGGGGCTTGAATCAACCCCAGTCTTTGATACATGCGATCGCTCAGAGCCAGGGGGTGCTTCTCCATCTTCGGCGCTGATCGCATCGATGTCATCCGCATCGTCATCATCATCCTCGCTCTCAGATTCCTCTTCATTGAAGCATTCTGGGCATTTCCATCTTTTCGAATCTACCTCAAAGTCAGCATCCAATCAAGGCCACTATCTCTAATAAGGAACCCACTGTTTTTTTCAGTCATTGCTGCAGCATCACGGGCACATTGCTGATGTGCTACGAAACTGTTAGCTAAAACACTCCAGTTACGTTTTTGCATCAGGGATGGAAGCTCCTTACCATTTTCACCACAACGGGTGCAAGCGAGGAAGGCTTCAAAATCCTCACTTGGATCATTTTCTTCGTCTTGTTTGCAAAACATGCAAGTATTCGATTGCACAGCGTCGGACTCCTCGTCTTCGTCCCCGGCATCACCTTCTTCCCATGCCCCTTCCTCATCTTCTTCATCCTCTTCGTCGTCGGACTCTTCTTCCTCTGCCGCACTCTGTGCGTCGGAGCCATCGCTTCCCATATCTTCGTCTTCAGAATCAACAGGCTTCACCTTCACCGCACCAACTTCTTCGTCCAAGTCGTCCTCTCCTTCTGCATCTTCGTCATATTCTTCTCCGTGACCCGGTGTGGCGCTGCCGACGACGATTTGTTGGTCCATCCGGTCGTTGTCTTCCTCGCCAGAGGCATCTTGGTCCAGCTCCTCCCCAGAAGCATCTTGATCGCTCAATTCTTCATCCTCGCTGCCAGAAACGTCGACATCTCCATTTTTTTGCAAGCCTGCATGGGTTAATGACGACGGTGCCTGGTCGCCCGTATCAGCGGTGTCGTACTCGCCGTCTTCGGAGAGCATGACGCTCTGTTGGAGCTCTTCTTCCATGGCTTGCGCACTTGGCATCATGACCCTTGCTTCATTAAACAGAGAATGCATATGCTTTTCTCAAATTCGAGCATTTCGCTTCAAAACAAGGTTTGCGACGAGAGATAGTTGGAGGTGTTTGGGGAGAGCAACCATGGTAGGTTTGACTAGGTAATCAGGTACAGGCTTGGACCGCTGGCCCTGCGATGATGTCAGATCTGTGTTGCAAAATACCATCAAAAAAACGAACCTTGCATCTGTAGGAGACTCGCCAGAGCTTGGCTATTCGCAGATGATTGTCGCAAAGCTTCACGATGAGCCCCAGGCGCGTGTTCTACCGCATGTTACCACGGAGTCGCGAAATGCGTCTAGATACAGTGCGCGACGATCTGGACAACGCGAGACAGCCCACTCGAATAGGTGTGCTGTCACAGTGTATTTGGCCAACGAATCTTACTGTCCTGTGGCAGGGGTATCAGTTGCTGCTTGTGGGGCGCCTGAGGCATCAACTCTGGAGTCGAAGATCAGCTGTCCAGCCAATGTCACGAACTGCAATTCAAGACCTCGTCATCGACCGAGAGTAAAGACATCACAACGCCCCAATTGAACGATTACCGGGCGCACTGGTCCATAAACCGAACGTCACAACACATTGGAATATATAGAAAGGATCGTGCAGCGGCCCCACGTCCAAAATGCCTGTTCCGTTCGAGACTCTACTGCCCTATGCCATCATGATTGGCGTATGTGAATATTCCAGTCACCTGTTACCTTAGATGAACAATTTCTGACGAGAAGCCGCAGATGTTTGGTGTTACAGGGACCGGCCTTGCCGTCGTCAAGACGTGGCGTAACGAAGGCAAGCGGCCACGATACTCTCTGGACCAGTGGGATAGAGTATGTGAAATGTCCCGATTATGATGTTTGAAAATTTGGCTAATTTTATTTGCAGCAAAGTTAGCTTTTACGAAATAATTGGTCTTTACTGGCATTCAAATAGATGCTAACACATTCTTTCAAGTGATGGACCGCGATCGCAGACTTACCGGCACGTTGCGAGGGCAGACAGACAAGCCAGAAGCACCACCGGGGTTCGAATTCTCGCATGGTTGGAAGGTATGACAATCTCAATACTAATATATAAACGGAGAAAAATGCTGAAATGTGGTACAGCTGGAAAAGCGCTTCACCTAGGGACCATTTCAAATCTAGACGATGGAATAATCGAGGGCAAACATCAATCAACAGTGTATATATATGGCCTGACAAATGGCCAATCCTGGCGTTGAAGAAAAGCAAAACACAAAATTTTCAAGTCAGGAAATCATTTCACGGTGACCCGTTGGGTGCTGGGTGCTGAATACAGTTTTTTTTTATTTTGATCTTTTGGCCAATTTTTTATATTGAGACTTCTGGCCGGTTCTTGTTCAAAGTCTCCAAAAGCGTGCAGGCATGGCATACCTGTTGGCTGGACATGTATCCGCATTTGATGCACGCCCCGAGAGTTTGCAGTGGTCCAGTTGGCCGTTGCCTTTGTCCCTTTTGCTGTCTTCGACCACGAAGGGGGAGCTTGACAGATCCGTCGTCAGTTGGTGTTCCATTGGGACTAATCTCAGTCTCAAGCTCCGTCGTTTTGTGCTTTGGCTTTAACGCAGCCTCCATTTCTGCAAGTTCACCCCCGGAAGTCCGCCCATTTGCTGATCCGCACCCCCCCATTCCTTCACCTTCGTCACATGCGCACGCATCTTGGCTCTTATCTGGAGTGAGCCGTGCCATGTCTTCTCCGCTTCTCACAATATCTAATATTGCACTTGGTCGTACCTTCTCCAAGTTTTTGATAAGTGTACGGGCAGTCCCGCGAAATGCCTCCGGGCTGTAGATGCATTCCGTGCTGAAGTAATCCAATCTTTTGTGGTGCGCATAGAGCACAATTTCCTTCTCGTATGCGTATTTCAGCGGTTTGCTTCTTTGAATACCAGTGGAAGCACTGCCAGTAACAATACTCGTGCTCCGTGATAAGCGAGGTAAGTCGCCTCGTAACAAGTTCATAAGGACGGTCTCGGCGATGTCGTCGGCGTTGTGTCCTGTAACGACATGCTTGATGTTCAACAAGTTGGCTCCGCGGTCGAGAGCCTGTCGACGAAAAACACCACAATACGTGCAATTTCCTTTCTTCCCTATAGTCTCGACTACTTGATCCATGGTCCATCCGAAAAGTTCATCGTAGCCCACGATTTTTAGTGGCATATCGTATTGGACGGCATTCCGCTTCACTGTCTCGAGTGAATCATCCCGGTAGCCTTTGATACCTTCGTCAATACTCAATAGCACCAAATCAAGGCCGTAATTGTGCCTCTCATTTAATGTTTTCAAGACTGATGCCAAGACGGTTGAGTCTTTGCCACCCGATGCGCCGATTGCAACCTTTTCGCCGGGGAAAAAAAGCTTAGATGAGGCTATGGTGTGATGTACTTCATCTTCGAACACCGAGAGGAAGCATTCCTTGCATAATTTGTGGTGGTTCTTTGGTCTTTTTATGACTGCCCGGTTCCCACACCGGAGGCAAGCAGCCGGAGGCATTGTCTCGACAAGTGAGTGAAGTGTGTGCCTTCAATACAAGTAGTACGAACTGGATATCCAGAGGACAGAAATCTTGGGTGCCGTCTTTGAAGTCTGGCTCTGCTCTTCGAAATATATACTGCAAAATCCGAGCGGCTCTGATGTGAAGAAATCTTTACACGGAGTATGTCAGCCAGTCACGCCTCTTCTGTATGTCGATTTTGCCTGACTCGAAGAACATGATTGGGCAGCGACGAAAAGACCTTGCACAACCACGATGAGCACGTGATACTGCGATTCCAGCCACAGCCTAGCCACATGCTGGCCCAAAATCGGCATGTTTGGTGTGGGGCGGTCCGCGCTGGCTAGTGTGGCACACAGCGAAGCCCTAATTTTCCGCCCACCATCCAGCACAACTTTTTCTTCTTTGATCCTCTGACAACCCATCCATCTCGGCTGCAAGCACCTCTGCTCTTCACGACTGAGCACCGCCGATCAAGACAAGATGGTAAGTTTCTAACTCACACAGGACTCTCATGGCCACAGTTTGTGAGTCAAATACGTGAAAGCGCTATTTGATCCTCGGCGTCGACAATGCCTCTTTTTGCGACGCTGCTGGAAATTCCGCCGACTCGTCGAACACATACAAGATGTAACGTTTTGAGTGTGGGAGACCTGGAGGTGAAGACTTGGCTGGAGATGCGGGCATGCGCTGAAACATTGCCATGATTTCCCAATCATCTCGTTAGAGTTCAGAGAAGACCGTTTAGCTTGAGCAACTCGCTAATGTCTTCTTTTCTCAATGACAGCCCCCCAAGACTGGAAAGAAGGTGGCCCCGGCCCCTTTCCCTCAGGGAAAGGCTGGCTCGAAGAAGGCTCCCAAGGTGTGTATATTCCTCCGCTTCCAAGATTTCAGAAGGGGGGGGGGCATCTGAACTGACGGGAAATTTTGCAGAACCCTCTCATCGAGAAGCGCCCCCGCAACTACGGCATCGGCCAGGACATCCAGCCCAAGCGAAACCTCTCCCGCATGGTAAAGTGGCCCGAGTATGTCCGTCTTCAGCGCCAGAAGAAGATCCTCCAGATGCGCCTGAAGGTTCCCCCTGCTCTGTCCCAGTTCCAGCACGTCCTCGACCGCAACACTGCTGCGCAGGCCTTCAAGCTCCTCAACAAGTACCGCCCTGAGACCAAGGTCGAGAAGAAGGAGCGTCTCCTGAAGGAGGCTACCGCCATCAAGGAGGGCAAGAAGAAGGAGGACGTCAGCAAGAAGCCTTACACCGTCAAGTACGGCTTGAACCACGTCGTCGGTCTCATTGAGAACAAGAAGGCTTCCCTGGTCCTCATCCCCAACGATGTTGACCCCATTGAGTTGGTTGTCTTCCTGCCTTCTCTCTGCAAGAAGATGGGCGTCCCCTATGCCATTGTCAAGGGCAAGGCCCGTCTCGGCACCGTCGTCCACAAGAAGGTTGGTCAGAATTCCTACGAAATTTGCCTTGCCTAAAATATTACATGCTAACGAATCTAATTACAGACCGCTGCCGTTCTGGCCCTCACCGAGGTCCGATCAGAGGACAAGACCGAGCTTTCCAAGCTCGTCTCTTCCGTCAAGGACGGCTTCATGGAGAAGCACGAGCAGGCTCGCCGACAGTGGGGTGGTGGCATCATGGGCGCCAAGGCCCAGATGCGCATTACCAAGAAGCAGAAGGCTGCGGAGGCTGCCACCAAGATTTAAGCTGTCTTATACCATTTGTGCATTGAGGGCTGAGGGATTCATCAACGGTGTTGCGGGTTTCAGGACATGACCAAAAAATGAATGAAATTTTTAGCGACTAATTGTGTATGCCGCTTTTCTTTGCCATGATAATGAGACCTGAAAGGGCAGCGACTGTGCTTCGTACCAGATGTTCCCATGCAAAAGTGGCCAGGCATTAAACATGCATGGCTCAATGCTTGGCTTGCCGCGGTGTAGTCGTTTTTCTTCTTTCTTTTGCTTGACCTACTATGCTAGAGTGATGTGAGACACGGATTGACCTTATCTGCCACGGTTCCAAATGCATCTAGAAAATTCCTCCAAGTGGTTTGCCCATCGCTCCTGGTTCACCAACCTAGAGCCGAAAAGCATATCAACATGGTAGTGCATAATGGCAGTCATTATGCCTTATATCAACCCTTCGGACCTTGTTGAGGGCAACAGCAGTCTTTTGTAGCAGACTAGAATTCCCTGTATTAAAAGCAATACGCTTATATACACATGCCTAGGCATATGTATAGCACTCTTGAAAAGTATCCGACGTGATTCCGGATTAGGCAAGCTGCCTCATTTAAAGTCATTGTCCGATAGTGTCGTCCGTACTGCGCTGTTGCTGTTCAGGCAAGTAGTCGGATTTTTCATGTCCCTAATGTGTCGATGTTAGCAGCTGACGGAGTTGCTATTCCCCCTAGTAAGTACTACTAGCTTTAGGAAGTGATGCGCGTGAGAGGTTTCCATGTAGGATTCCTATCGACTTATGGTGTCCCAGCAACTGCCCCAATGGCTTATATGAAGGAGAAACTGGTGTCTGTCTCTGGAACTGGCCTATTTATCATTAGCTGCCTAGCTTGTTTTTTTTAATCTCATGAGCTCTCCTAGTTGGCCAGCATATGCCGCGGGGCGGGGAAGCTTCCTGCTTGGTTCCGAATCGGACATTCTTGGTGTCTTCTGGAAGACTTTTCATTTCGAAACGACTGGTTTCAAAGGTACACGGGTTGTGCCTTGGATGTACCTAGAGTACATTGGTACTTGCAGCACCAAGGCATGAATGGTTTGTGGGGACTCGGCGATTGTGAACATTCAAGGCTTGCGGATAACTGGAAGAAATTGAGCATGTCCCAGCCAATCAGGGGACATGTTTTTGCGGGACATGGGAGACGACATCGAAGAGACGGATGGAAATATCGAGGCTATTGGACACTTTGCGCATCATCCTCCACTGCTGCATCGAGGGACAGGACCAAACTTGTCTCGACAGAACATTGAACTCGGCCAAGTCAATCGAGCAGCCTTGGGAGCCCTGTAGGGACTGGTTTTCTTGCTGCTGCCTGGTCGGCTGGGTTCAACTCAGTCTGCGCAACCCCTGATGCAAAGACGGCGAAGCGAACCACCACTTCGTCCCCAAGCGGCAAGGGCCAATGCCACCCGCTTTGCCACAGGGAGTCTGGTGCATCAACTCATCTTTGCGACACTTTGTCACCGGTCATGTATGCATTAGCTGCGGGCCTTTTTGCTGATGCGTCCCGGGCCCTTGCCTCGCCGGTCCCTGCGATGGCATCAAGCCCAGCCCAGCATTTGCGCCACCCGGCCAATCAATAGCAAATCGCTGGCATCGATGGCTGTTCCGCGACGGTGTGGGCCCTGGCAAACGCACAGAAAGCCACATGTTGCAAGGCGAGTCTCCATTTGCATGGCAGGATACGGACATGGAGTTGATATTCAAAGTCGGGCCCTGTCATCGGGTCCTCTTCCCCAGCAAGGCCTGGCTGGTCTGGTAGGATCAGAGCCCTGGCTGCTCGCGCATTTTTCTTTGGACAGGACAATATGGAATCGATACTACGTGTGGCTTTAATGACAAGGTGTTTCAATGCTCCGTCAAGATGGAAACCCGCTCAACTGGTTGCCACTGCGCGAACTCCCTTCTTCCAGCAGCCTGGACCCCAAGTCTATGCTACCTGACGAAAGGGGGTTTTTCTTTCTTTCTTGAGCCGACGTTCGTCTGGTATTAGTCTCTCTGGCTTGATCCTGTCAAAAGAGCAGAAAACAGGAGTGCAGTCCACCACCTCCTACGACCACGAGATCGGCAATTTTCCCTTGCGTACGTTCGCCGGTTCGCACTTCTCGGACTCGACATTGCTTTTCCCTTCTTCTTTTCTTTTGTTTTTTGCAAAGAAGTTGCATTACTTTACTCCCTTTGGCTAGTATTTGGGATCGTCTGGTTCTGGTTTTTGGCTAGCCTGGTCCCCGCATATCGTTCAGCTCACGTTGTTGAGATAGTTTTTCGTTTCTTTTGCCAGTACTACCAGACTCCCTCTACAGATCGTGCGTCAGTTGCGGTCACATTGTCAGCACACCACCAAAAACGGTTCGGGCGACTCGTTGCCATACTCGAGGATATTACCATCACGTTGGACAAGTTCAAAAAACATACAACGTTTCTCCATCTTGGGATCTTGGGCATAAGGTGTAAGCTGAGGCATCGCCCTTGGACCGTCAACAGCAGCAAAGGTCGTTTCCGTTCCCTCAGAACTTCTCCCGCCTGCCCCTAGCCCTCATCACCATGGGTTGGGTTGCCAATGCAACTCCCGAGGTTGACGCCCAGTCACAATGGGCGACCATACTGGCGGTGTGCATTGTCTTATCGGTGCTTTCCATAGCCACAGTTTCTTGTCGGCTCTGGATCAGAGGCACGGCTCGTGGTCTTGCTGGAGATGACTACATGTCGGGCTTGTCCATGATTTTCGCCTTCATCTATTCAATTCTCTGCATTGTCCAAACCAAATACGGCCTGGGGCTGCCTCTCAAACTTCGACCCAAGGCAAACATCGGTCCCTATTCACAGGTCAACTTTGCCGGCCGCCCCATCTATCAGATCGGCATCAGCTTCTTCAAAATTGCTCTCCTCATCAGCTACCTGCGCTTGCTTCAAGGTACGGACCGCAAGGTCTACCGGATGGTGGTTTGGACCACCATCGTCATTGTCTTTCTAGCGCACCTGGGATGCACCCTATCCTTGGTGTTTGCCTGCACTCCTGTTGAAAAGTCATGGAAGCCGTGGGTGGCGGGATCCTGTCTGCAGCCAGGCCCTTCCTTCACCGGCTACGCCGTTGTCACGATTGTGTCGGACGTTGTCGTGGCTGTATTGCCCATTCCCGTGCTCCTGAAGCTCAATGTGCGGCCGGAAAAGAAACTGGGCCTCATTGGCATCTTCATGCTGGGTCTCTTCACCACGCTCTGCTCCATCATGCGATACGTACAGATTGACCGAATCCAGAACGGCGACGGCAACTCGACCATGCTGGTCCTCTGGGGAACCATTGAATTCAATGTCGGCGTGAGTTTGTGTTTCTTACGGCAGCGTTTGTGCCAGCCTGTCAGTCCCCTACTAACCAGGTTTCTGTAGAACATGGTTTCATCACTCCCGTTCCTGGCACCAGTCTGCATGAAGAAGGCCAGAGACTACAGATCCAAGTACTCTGGTGGCTCCAACAGCGGCCCGAGTCGCAGCCGAGGACTACGAAACGGGGAGCGCTACAAGCTCAGCGACAGAAGCCACGACAAGAGCGCATTTGTATCGGCAAACAAGTCTGGCAGCGAGGAGAATATCCTCGACAATGGCGCCATTTTGAAATCAGTCACATACAGCGTGCAAATCGATGAAGGGTCCAAGAGCAGACCAAGCGGTCGCCGAGATGACGAGGTCTAGGCGATTGGCTTTTGTGTATGTACATGACTTGGCACGCGTGTGATTTTACGGCTAGACGGGGAAAAGTACAGCGATGAACCATGCTTTCAACTCTAACAAAAGCGCCTTTTTTCTTCTTTTTTTTCTTTTTGAAAATGACACTATTTCTCGTGTATCTAACAAGGAAGATTTATATTAATATTCAGGCTATTTTGGAATACTTTCAGCAGATGACGGTTTAAAAGGGGCATCATTGCATATAGAGAAACAGTGTTGCTGCACGCAGGATACACATGTAGTTATAATTATAACCAAAATATCATCTTGACTCAATGGCCGGTTCTCTGCGCCAAGTCGCCGCGTCTACTCTTGTCCAAGATGTACCGGCGCATGCACGAGCTGCAGATGGATCCGATCCAACATGCACAATATCTCGCGGCCCACGACGCTTTTCGACCAGCGCCATGATATGCGGTCATATTCTTGTTTTTCTTCCTCTTCGTCGTCGTCTTTTTTTGGCCCCCCGGTCTTCTGGGGCGGAGCATGCGCACGCACTCGGCACGGCGCGTCTGGTGCATGTATGTACAATCTACCATACTCCGTAGACGCGAGCCTGAATGCTGCACAGACAATTTTGCTGATCCGGCACGCGGCAACCACAACGAGCCGCGCTCACGAACGACCGGCATTTGCAAAATCGACTGCCTGCCATGGCCCCGGTGCCTCGATTCACGCACGCGAGGGGGAATCGAGCCTGCATGCGTTTCTGTTCCAGTGACCCGGGCTGGGTTGCACCAGCGCGCTGACGACAGCCGGTCGGCGGTGCATGTTGAATGTCTGGCCAATTCGTAAGTTGCCCAACGAGGGCTTCGAATCAACCATTGAATTGGCCAGACAGGACGGGGCTTTGCCGTCTACGGGCCCTCACAGCTCCCCCAGCCTGACATAATTAATTAACTGGTCCCCGCTCGCCAGTAGCCAATGCTTTCGTCGAGATGCAAGTCGCGTCAATTGATCCCTCTTGGCCACAGGGTTCACGGGCGTCTCCGCGGAAAACTGGGGCGTCAAGGGGGAGGGAGCGTAAGACGGCCCGTACGGCGACCCGACGGCATTCAATCTGGGTTCTGGACACGCCATGACCCTGGCAAGTCCCGGCCTGTCTGGTCCGTCGTGCCACCACGAAACACTCCGTGGTCGGGTGGGTGCCGCTACGTTGCGGTGCATCTCACGCCAAGCTTATCATCCAGATGCTTGCCTATAGTAACTAAGTGTACGGAGTACTAGTAATTGCTTCCGCCCTGTCAGTTATCAACTTATGGCCCCCAACGGAGCGGATGCTTGAATGAGGCATGTGGGCCGGCAGGAGCAATCAAGAGCTGGAGGCCTGCGGCTTGTAGTATATTTCCGAGTACGTACTGTAGTTTGATGTGGTAAACAACGAAACCCATGCCTCGTAGTACATGTACGCAAATACCATGTACAAGATCAATTACATACATGCCTAGTGGACCAACTAGGATACTATTCAAACATGCTGAAAATGACCACAAAATGGACTTCAAGCATCCAAAGTCACGTCAAGACCAAGTAAGCCATCCATCCCCAAGCTCCTCCTAAATACATCAACTTGGTTTGTCCCGTGAATTGTGCGCGCCGATACGACTTGACTGATTAGGTGCACAGGCTGCATTATGCTATTACTCGTCAAGTATTCGAAAACGGACAAGATTCACCTTCCTTCCAATACGGGAGCATTTGCACAAGCCACAGCTCAACTCTGCGATTTCTCTAGCCAAGGTAGGTATCTGAACACGGACTACCTGCGACACGAACACTGCTTGGCACGGTATGCGGGAGTGACGGGGAACCCCCTTGTCAACCCACAACCCTATCCGCCACTTCATCGTAAACAATGTCCATCTGCCGTTTAGTTAGCAGAGGGCTTTCAGGGCCAATTCGAGCCCACTCATGGGCATCCAAGCAAGCACGACGAGACGCCAGGACCCCTGGGCGTGCCCTGTTGATCACTACATCCTCATACTGATCCAGTGCATGGCGTAGTATGCCTCGTTCCAGGCCATGAGCTGCTTGCTCCTCAGCAGCCAAGTTGTCAGCTGTTGCTGACGTCGCTGTCTGCCGCTCGTTGCCAGCAGTAGAAGCGGATTCATTGTCAGCTACCAGTAGCGGCGTGACATGATTCGCAAAGTCGACAACATCAGCAATGGCATGGTTTGCTCCCTCGCCTCGATCTGTATTAAAGGCGCAAGTCAGTCGAATTCACCTAGGATAGATTGATCGGCAATGGGCCATTCGACAGAGTCTTGTCGCGAATCGTAGCACATGTGGGCGGAGCGCTGAGCAAGGCATCTAGCCCTGCCCTGGCTCGCCTGACACAGGAGACACCAGCCCCAGCCCCCAAAAGATCTGAACCGAGCTTGCGCTGATCCGTGGAGTAGGCGCCAAACTCTTCCAGGACCCTTCCATGATTCTTCATCTGGAGAATTTCGTGCTAGGGCGGATAGAGGGGGGTTTGAAACAGAAGGAGAGAGACATGAGCCCGGTGACTTACACATTGCCATATGGTGTAGTGAGTCTCCCATCAACACGGCGTTTCCTGTTGTATGTAGGCCTTTTGGTGGAGGCCAGTCCGAGAGATCCACGCTCCTGATTTCTGTGTCGTCTGTTATCGCTCCCATGACAGACCGAAATGGTTCTGCGTATGACGCTGCAAACTCCAAAAATAACTTGCGTCGGTCCTCTTGAGTATCTGGCACGCATACTTGTTTCTTCCTTCCCAAATACCCATCTCTGTACGGCCAGGAGAGACATATTTGCAGATTATACGAATCAGGCGGGTTATCCGGGCTATTGCCAGGTGCATCCAAAACTGTGTACAAAATATTAACATGTATACAACCTCCCTGATGTAGCTGTGGACGGTTTTCCTTTTTCTCTGACAACAAGTGTTTGAGGTTGCAGCAATGTGGCATGGAAGGGTAGAACCTACCGCTCATATAGACGAACGAGTCGTTCTCTGACGAGGTTCCCTGAAGAAAGTACGCGTCCTGCTCTCGCATTCCAGCTATTTGGACCGTGGACAACTGCATCTTTACACCCATGACAGCAATGGGAATTCGGTACAAGTTCTCCTGCGCCAGCTCTGGAAACAGGGCCTTTCGAACCCGTGAATTGCTACCATCACATGCAACAAGCAAGCCGCCAACGCAAGTCGAGCCATCGTCGAATGTTACGGTAATCACACTTGAGCAGCCTTTTCCAGTTTCGTTTACGGCCTCATCAGAGCAGCTGTTTGGAGTTTCAATAAAGGACTTGAACGCCTTGCCCCACTAGATAGTACTTCAGTCAGAGACTTGTTGGCCAGCCAAATGCACGTATGTCTGCGCTTCGAGTACAGCATTGTTGAGCAATTACCGGCAATTGTACGGGTCAGCATGAATCTTCTTACCTCGATATCAACATCTGTGGCTAGCCACTTTCTCAACCTCTCTCGTGTTACGCGGGCTCGCACTGTCTCTGGAAGAGGCGGTGTTGTTGCTTTGAGTTCACCGGTGCTGAGATCGTAGAAGGGGAATCTCGGAACAAGGCCTGACGCAATGCCCTGACGATCGACGTACGTCTCTGCGAATCTGGACAGTAGTTCAGGCCTGAGAAGAGACCTCAACATGGGAAGGGACCAATTGAGCGTCAAACCCCATCCAACCCCACGGGTGTTCATGTCTGCATCCCGCTCGAAGATGCGGAAAGGTACACCCTGCTGGCGCAAATGCTGGGCCAGCAACAAGCCGCTGATACCCGCCCCGATGATGATGACTGGCCGGCAGTCTGAGACTGACGCTGAGGGCGCCGCCGAGATAGACTTGGCTCCGCCTTGTGCCATTCTGGCAACGTCTTCGTTATCAATGAGTGACGGACGAAATCAAGGGGAGGAGGCGACAAGGCGACAGGCAGTGCAAAACCGTAGGCAGACGCAGAGCGGGAGGTTGATCAACCGTAGAGCTATTAAGTTGGCCGCCCTCTTTTGAACATATTCATCCCAGGGTATCGCTGAGCAGAAGAAGAAGAAGGAAAAAACTTGGCACAACACGTGCTTGAGCTGCACAGAGAGGCGGGTCAGCAAACACACCATGGAGTCCGATATTGTAAGATGGAGATACGTACTACCAGAATGATGGCCGCGACGGAGCGCAGGGGATCAATTTGGGTCAGTTTGAAAGATGTCAGTCGTTGGTCATGACAAAAGAGGAAAGTCTTGCCCAGCTCCTGAAGGTCAAAGACTTGTTGCCAATATTCCAGCGTCCGAGAGGACCTTTCTCTTCCACCACCAATCTAGATTGCCAAAATTTCTTCACCCAGATGTCTCCTGCGGGTAATCTGCCGAGCTGATCAGTCGACGCTTCGACGCAAGGAGTCCTTTCCCGGTTCGTTCGATGCCGATACCCCGACGTGTTACTCCCTCGTTACTATACCGATGAGCAGGTTGACAGGGTCATGATTACTACTACTCTGTGCACTTGGGAAAACTGTGGACCAAATCTGTGAGCTTTGGAGTCGCCAGATCGGAAATTGTGATGGGCCCACATGCACATGGAGTACTAGGCCTTGTCTTGGCCGCTAAGCACTAGTAGTACAAAGCAACTGGGGTTTGGGGACTCTCACGGTGACCTCTCTGCATGTGTCTTGCTAGCAGCAGGGCTACTAATAAAGGCACCAGGGATCCCTCGCAGTCCGTCGCTTCCAGAAGCTTAGTCTATGCCCAAGTATATTTCATCTCCTCATCTTTACGAAAGGCAAGCACAAACCCACGAATGGTTAGCTCAACAAATTTCCTCGGCACTATGTCCACGTCTACAATATCCGACCGCGTGGGCGTCTTCTCCATTCAGCCATGACCTGATAAAATCACCAACTGTTGTCCGGCATTGCCTCCGTTGTGGCTGGCGGACGAGTGGATCGTGGTGTTGACGAGCCTTCTTCCGATTTGGAGCCACCAAAACGATCACCGCCACAAGTTGGAAATGTGGAAGCTGGGGCTTTGTTTCGGTTCCGAGTCTGGCAACTGGCTGCTTCCATGAGACATGTACCGTAGGTGACAGTATCGCCAAACATCTGCACATAAATACCTCGTTCAGTTTTTCTGGCTCTGGTGGCTTGACCTGGAAGGCAAGCGCCTGGCAATTCCACTTTCAAAGCGACCCTTATTTTCTCACATCTTGACCGTGTGTGGACAAGGGGGAGGGACGAACGTAGCCAGGGGTCTTTGGTGTCCCAGCTGGTTGATAACCGAAGTACCCTCGCAGGTACAGTACTTCAGCGCACCCATGAAGGTACAAAAACGTCCAGGCAGACGTGAATTGCTCGGCGGACTCGCTCTTTTTGCTAGCCGCGCTCATCCCCTAACTACTGACTTGCTGGAGATGCTGGAGCAAGATTCGGATCGATTGGGACACAGATTTGCCTCTTGGAGGAGCGGCCATTGCCTGAAAGGGGACAGGACGCTTCTTCTGGTTGACCGGGGTCACGACGTTTTATTAGCGAGAGCTTGTCTAGATGGAGTGGAGGTAGCTGAGAGAACTCTAGACGGTATTGCATTGCCACGTACCTAGGTTTTTGTTGTGTTTAAACTCTCCCCATATATAACTAAGAGATAATCTACGGCAGAATATATTTACCTACCATAAAATATACAGTAATATATTATAATATAAAGCCTGATATCCAGGTACCTGGTGGGGCGCGAGCGCACCTAGCAAAAAGAGTGAGCCCGCCGAGCAATTGAATTGACAGGCAAACGAGGCATCCCATCCTCTGACAACCTGTTCACAGCACAATGGAACTCAACCTTGGCAGGGTTCTAACTTCTGCCACCATTCCAGAGCATTGCATACGCGAAATATCTTCAACGGCGCTGCAGCGTATTCGACTTTACATTCATATATTATTTATTTATTTTTAATACGAATCGGGAGTAAATGGATCCTGGAAGGCTGCTGATGACAAAGCGAATTATATTATGAGGCGCTGAAACAGATCTTTCTCCATAACTCTCTCTTTCCAGAAGCATAGTGAAAAGCACAAAGAGGTATTTGCTCTTTTCGCCTATCGGGATACTCTTCGGCATGTTTCCAAACCACTTCACGGCAATATTGAAAGAGGGCTGGAAAAGAGGGAACTCAGTTCGTCGTCCGAACCTCCATTTAGTGACCATCATTGATGTCAACTCTGGGCACTTATGGAGCGATGTGGGTTGCAGCGCTCATGCATACAGCTCCCAATAGACGGACTCATACATTTGTATGTGCCCTATCCCTGAATTGCCATGTACCTACCACCCTTCTACGCGGCCATCCCGCCAACCGTCCATCCTTAGCTTAACCAAATGGCCAAGTGAGGTTGTACCATCGACTTGTATAATTTGCTCCTCTATCTTGAAGTATTTCATGTATGTAATGCCTAGCTTCAGATAGATGCACAAGAAGTCGAGACAAAGGCGGGTCGATTATTGGAGCTGCGAAAAGGCAGCGGGTGGTTGGTAAACGTGAGATATTATCAAGGCCGGCATACTTCAGAAATGTATTGATTCTGTATGTATTCGAGGACTCGTCCACAAGCTCAATAAATTTCCAAATTGTCAAAACAACGATGCCGCTCGCGCTTAAGGGCTACCTGTCGATTTCCGGTCCATTAATAAGATGGATAACGTCCGTGTCAAACATGTTTAAAATCTCTAAAGCTACTTGTCTAGAATACTTCAAACATTAGTACGCCAACTATTGATTAAAAATAGGTAGTAATAGGGAAACATACCAGGAGCGAACTACGTCATGACTTTATCAAGGAATATGGTAAAATATAAGCAGCTTCTAACTCGGCGTGATCACCATCTAGGGGATAACCGTTATCGTCTCGCGGGTCACCATGGTTTTCTTTAACGCGCTTAAAAAACTTATCTCGCTGAAATTTACGTGAGATCACACAGCGATATCGGTCACGTATAAGATAGTCTGTTTGAAGCGATCACAATCAAGATGACGTTCCCATAAATGTCTCCTCATGTGAGGGACCACGGGAGTGGTTTGTGATGAAGGCACAAGAGCTTGAGGTGCAATGACAAGTGTTTTATTGCAAGAGAGCTAATTGAAGTTGGAAGCTTGACCATGATGGTTAGTGGAGTTCGGATAAATCCCCCTATCGGGCTTTCAGGGGTAGCTGATGGAACTTCACGAACCAGACTGCATTTACTCATCGGAGGGTTGTGCCGAGAGTGGCGTGTACAGCTGGTTGTAAGTATGTACAACAAGCTCGACTGGATCGCATGGTCCAATCTATGGAGTACAGTATCGCGTGTGAAGATGCCTCACAAAGCCAATACCTTGGCTGTGTAATACCTGTTCCTTGCGTTGCATATCGTCCGGGGTATCTTCTTGAGAGGGAAGAACTGGGAACGGTGCTGCCTTTACGCATGAGATACTCCATTGCATCAACAATCACGTATAGAAAGTCGCGAAACAAACCAGTACAGCAAGGGAGACCGAATTCCGGGGTTAGTTTTGCAAGGAGCTCGACAGAGCTTGGTTGGTTGAGTATTGATAGAACGGTATACTAGTGCAGGAGCCCGAATTGAAACGGTCCATGGCCCCATGGTTACTGGGACCACCGTCGGATTGGCGGTACTGCAGCTAACCCTAGCATGGTGTAGGCCTCTCATCCGCTAAGAGGTGCATGAACAGGTTTTGCTTCTCTGATGCCCTCCGAGATGATAGCTGCAACAGTGGGGGGCCATATCGCCGTTGGCCATTCTCGTCTTTGGCCAGGCTTCCCGAGCTTGCTAGTGGAGAGACGGCCTTGCTTCTTTCGAGAGTTCACGATACGACATCTCTCGGAGCTTCTCAGGCCCTGGCAGGAATAGCAAGCAGTCGAGTACTTGGCATCGCACCTTAGGCAGGGGGGCTGAGGTGGATAGGGGATGACAAGCTGAGACAAAATGAAGGCGCCCGCAATACGTACGGAGAGCAGACTGCACAACTAGTATCCGGGTTCAAAAGAGCGGATGTATGGAGTGTTTGGCAAGCGAGAGACCGGGGCTCCGGGTCTTTCTCAAGTGTGTGGGATAACGATTGCATGGCATGTGAGGCGGATGGATGGATGTGTTTGATATAAAGTCTGGTACTCGGCGGAGGTGCAGGGTTCAGGGTAATATCACCAGTTGACAACAGCGGCGACTGTGCCGGGAAGGAGCGACCCAACATTGGACTTCAAGCTCCCGCGTGTTTTGAGCTGTCAAGTGGTGCCACGCTCATGGTGGGCTTCAATGTTGGCTCACAGTGATTGACAATATGCACTGTACTCCGTACTGGAGGGTATCTGCGACGTAACTGACACCGAAACTGCGATTTGCTTTCTTTGCGCTGCTGTGCGCCGTTCTTTTGTGGTCCCCCCACGTCGATCTTTATGGCCTCTCCGTCCCGTCAATTGGGAAAGAGGTGGTCAAAGCACGGCACCTACCATGGCAAGGGGATTTGGCAGCCAAGCTTCAGCCCAAGTCGATGGCTGTCAACGGGTGCCTGAGCGCAACATGGAAACATGAACCTTAACCCAGTGGCGCGGATTGACTGATGGACTGACTGATTGAGCATGCATGCGTACAACATGCAACTCACAGGATCAGGTAGGTGGTTCCTCGCTTGAGAGCATGGACCGCAAGCCCCAATGCACAAGACCTGGGGCGTGGGTAATTGACGCAACACAGCATGGACCACGACATCTGGACGCTTGCCGCTTGCCGCTTAACGCTCGACATCTATTGAACAGCTTAAAGGCTGCGGCGCTTGGCAGTGCACTCATCGGACTGGATGGTCCAAGATGGGTTTAGGCTCTCCGGCAGCTGGTGGGGCCCCATTCTAATTGAGCGACGGCAACAGTTGGCCAAGCCTGCTGTCCCACCCGCCTCCCCTCCTGCAGCCCAGGGTCCCAGGTCCATCTCGGCCAGGGCCATCCTTTTGCATCGATGTCTGCGACCGTCAACCACATGTTGGCCTTCCCTTTGCCATCCCCAACTACTCCATACCAAGAAGCACCAGACAATCTACTTGGTGTTTCTGCCAGAGTGCCCGTCCGGCACCAGCCAATCCACTTGCCCGAGTGCTGTGGTGTCCATCGCCGTCCTTTAAGTTTGGCCGTTGCCCAATCTGTTGCAACACTCGTTCGTTGCCTCTCCTTCTTGGTCTATAAATCCGTTTCCTTTCAATCTTCTTCCCTTCCTACCACGGGTTCTTTAGTGTGTTGAAGCAAGCTGTCGGAAACGACAAGTCCGTTTTCGTCTCGTCTGCAGAGCTGCTGCAATTCGAGTCGTTACGCGCCCGCCTTCGTGTTCTGCCCGCACCGGCTTTTACGTCCTTTTTTACCGGACCTTCTCTGTACCTCGTCTGCTCGTCGGCGCCTCGAACCTTCAGACAACTGTGGCCATTTTATAATCCCTTCACTTGAATCTGTTTTCTCTTTGTCAGCTTCAGGCGTCTTTCTCCATCTCGCCTGTCTACATCTCTCTCGGCCGGCGCAAAAAGTCCTCCCGAAGCACCCTCTTCAACGTTACCAAACTGGGTTATCATGTCTACCAATGTCGACGAAAAGTCCAAGGACGCCCATGTTCGCCAAACCGGCTCATCGTCGTCAAGCGACAATGATCCCCCCGCTGGATTTCTCCCGGCCACTGCTGGTGTCACCAATGTCGACGCCGCCTGGAAGTTCCTGAACGAACATCGCGACGCCGAAGGCATCGATGCGGTTAATCTGACTGCTCTGCGCCACAAGATCGACTGGCACATTGTTCCCCTCATGTTCCTGTGTTACACTATGCAATTCCTCGACAAGGTTATCCTGAATGTGAGCCACACCCTGTTCACCACCTTTCTTTCCCAAGCGACATCTGCAATTCTTTGGCCCGTACCAAGGTCAGGTTGCAGTGTCGCAGTTGGCAATTACCCACGATTGCTTAATCGCTAACCATCAACTCGCCAGTATGCCGCCGTCATGGGAATCAACAAGGACCTGAAGCTCCAGGGCAATGATTTCTCCAATGTTGCCACGTTTCTCTTCGTTGGTCTGCTTTGCTTCGAAGTTCCCAACAGTATGTTGCCCCTGTCGCATAGCAGAACAGCGACCGGAAACGAACTCTTCGCTGCGAGGACCATATTTGGCTAACACATGGCCTGCTGCAGTTTACTTCCTTCAAATCTTTCCCGCCGCCAAGTGGCTCGGAGCCAATGTCACTCTCTGGGGCATCGCAACTGCATGTGGTGCAGCTGCCCACAATTACCAGAGCTTGCTTGTCTCGCGTATCTTTCTCGGCATCTTCGAGGCCACTATTGCCCCCTCTCTGATGCTTATCAGCAGCCAATGGTACACCAAGTCAGAGCAGGCTCCCCGTTTCTCCTTCTGGTATCTTGGTCTGGGTCTTGGTCAAATTGTCGGCGGTCTCGTTTCCTTCGGTTTCCAGCACATGACGCCCGGTGCCGCCCTGGCTGGTTGGAGAACTATGTTTGTCGTCCTAGGATGTTTGACTGTTGTCTTCGGCATCTGCACTTTGTTTTTCATCCCCGATACCCCAATGCAGGCCAAGTGGCTGTCCGACACCGAGAAGGTTGCTCTTCTGAAGCACATCAGTGTCAACCAAACCGGTATCCAGAGCCGCAAGTTCCGGGTCAAGGAGATTTTCGAGGCTCTGCTAGACCCTCAGATCTATCTCTTGATTCTGTCCGTTGTTTTGCTGTCTGTTTCGAGCGGTGTTGTCACCACTTACTCGGCTACTCTGATCCGCAACATTCTATCCGACGAGCCTCCAGCATGGGCTCCAAAGAAGGCCGCTCTGCTCAACATGCCATCGGGTATTGTCAGTATCTTCTTTACACTAATGGTCGGTTACGGTATTCGTAAGAAGTCGCACAGGTGGGCATGGATCATTGCCTGTATCATTCCTGCGTGAGTACCCAGCATCCGCTTGGCGGTCGTAAAATCCGAGCCGCGTGGGCTAACTTGTCGAAACCAGAATCATTGGTGGTGCCCTGATGTCTTTCCTGCCCAAGTCCAACAAGGCTGGGTTGCTGGCCGGTATCTACCTTGTCAATGCCGTCGTCGCGCCTCTCACAATCTTCTACAACGTAAGTCGGTATCCATTTTTGCCTGGCCTGGGGTGTGGCGTATCGACTAACTCAACCTCACTTTTAGTGGACTGTTGCCAACTGTGCTGGTGCCACCAAACGAGCCTTTGCTGCTGCTATTATTTCTGGCTCCTTCTCCCTCGGCAACATTATCGGACCTCAGACATTCCAGGCCCGTGACGCCCCCGATTATCACCCTGCCAAGCTGGCTGTCATGGGTACACAAGCCGGTTGCGCCGTCACCACTTTCGTGCTGTTCCTATACTATGTATGGGCCAACAAGCGCCGAAATGACCGCAGCAAGGAGACGGAGGAGCAGTTCCTATCCCCCGAGGTTTGGGCCAGCCTAACCGACAAGGAAAACAAGCATTTCCGCTACACTTACTAAGGAGGAGTGTATCGATTTGCATGGTGGAAAGGTGAAGATACCCAAAACAGAAAGGCTTCCTGCCTGTCACGCGAGACGTGAAGTTACGTGTAGAAATATGGTATTGGACATGGGGGCAGCGTAGTGTATTTTGTATTAAAGTTGTATGAGGAGGCATCTTGTTGTAGATATTTGAGCGACACAGTTTTTGTATTTGTCTGTTGGATGTAACCAGGACATCGAAACAGAGAGACGAATTGCACATGAAAGGGAATGTTTTTCTTCATTTCGCACATGCCAGACATGATCACTTGCAGCAGATCCCGGCCCCGAGGAACATTTTGGAGTGTACCTGTCGTGGGTGTGTCCGTTGGCAAACTCGGGCCAGTGACTAGTCTGCCAGGGAGTTTATTCTTTCCGTATGCTGCCTCGCCACGGAATGGTCCGTGTCTCCCTGGTGAAATGGAGTCTGACTGGAATACACCAGCCTGAAGGATAGGATAACAATAGGCTTCCGTGTGCGGCTAATGCCTGACTTGCCGTCGACCAAGTCGAGGATATTGAAACTCTGCCTCTTCTTGACCAGTCACGTACTCGAGCGCTCGCAGGTGCGAAACTTCCCACACATGTAGGGCTCACTACGCAGCTACCATGTCAACTGAGACGCATCCTTTTGATTCACAGTCAAAGTCCAAGTCGTTGGCCTTGTAAGATACATTGCGACCATCTGGACAAGTTGAGGCTGGAAATAAGATTCACACCATGCACGTCGAATGGGAAAAAACACTGACTGGATGTAAGCTTCCATTAAGTACCTGCCTACACTTGTGACCATTGTCATAATCATGCTACATGTCCAAAATAATCGCACCCCCATGGGGCGCAGATGGTTAAAAACAAGACGCCATCCAAAGCAGTGTATCCCAAAACAAAAACAGACAAAAATTTTAAAATCGTGAGACGGGGGTAGATGATCTAGGGTACCCCCCTTACTCCCACTGGACGTGGCCCAAGATTAAAAAAAAAGATTCGCAAATCCAGCACCAAATATGCCCACTCTTTACACCGAAGGACCAGCCTTGACAACGTCCTCGGTAGCCTCGCTCTCGTACTTGGTAAAGTTCTCGCGGAAGAGCTTGCCCAGCTTGACAACTTCCTTCTGGAAGCTGTCGGAACCAGCCGTCCAGGCCTTCTCGGGGTTGAGCAGGTCGGCGGGGACGTTGGGGCAAGACTTGGGGACCTGGAGGTTGAAGACGCCGTAGTTCTCGTACTCGACCTTGGCCAGATCGCCCGAGTGGATGGCGTCGAGGATGGCACGGGTGTACTTGAGGGGGCACCGCTTGCCGCCCTGGCTGTGGCCGGCGCCGACCCAGCCGGTGTTGAGGAGCCAGGCGTTGGCCTTGTGCTGGTCGATCTTGTCGGCAAGCATCTTGGCGTATCGCATGGGGTGCAGGGCAAGGAAGGGCTGGGCGAAGCAGCTGGAGAAGGTGGCCTGGGGCTCGGTGACGCCGTCCTCGGTGCCGGCCATCTTGGAGGTGTATCCGGAGATGAAGTGGAACATGGTCTGGGCACGGTCCAGCTTGGAGATGGGGGGCAGGACACCGCGGGCGTCGCAGGTGAGGAGGATGATGTTGGAGGGCATGCTTTCTGACAGGCAGGGAATCTTGGCGTTGTTGATGTACTCGATGGGGTAGGCGCATCGGGTGTTCTCAGTCAGGGTAGAGTCGTCGTAGTCGACTTCACGGGTGTCGGGGTCGAAGACGACGTTCTCGAGAACGGATCCGTAGCGGATGGCGCCAAAGATGTCAGGCTCCTTCTCGGCGGACAGGCCGATGCACTTGGCATAGCAACCGCCCTCGATGTTGAAGACACCACGGTCACTCCAGCAGTGCTCGTCGTCACCGATCAGAGCACGGTTGGGGTCGGCGGAGAGGGTGGTCTTGCCGGTTCCGGACAGACCGAAGAAGAGGGTGACATCGCCATTCTTGCCCTCGTTGGCGGACGAGTGCAGGGTCAAGACGTTGTGCTTGATGGGCATCTCGTAGAAGAGAACCGTGAAGACTCCCTTCTTCATCTCACCGGCGTACTCGGTACCCAGGATGACCATCTCCTTCTCGGCGAAGTTGATGGCGACTGAGGTGGGAGAGGTCATGCCCTCGGTGTAACGGTTGGCAGGGAACGACCCGGCGTTGTAGATGGTGTAGTCGGGGTGGAAGTGCTCCAGCTCCTCACGAGGAGGGCGGATGAGCATGTTTCTCATGAAGAGGGCATGGTAGGCGCGGGCGCAGATGACACGAACGCGGATGCGGTACTTCTCGTCCCAGCCGGCATAACCGTCGATGACATAGATGCGGTTGCGGGTGTTGAGGTAGTCGACAGCACGCTCACGGTTGATCTTCCAGACCTGAGGGGGGAAAGGAATGTTAGTCAGAAACCACCATGACTATATGATGTCTTACGAAAAAAAAAAAAAAAAGGATGAAAACAATTACAACGCAAGAAAGTGAACAAACAGCAATGACAGGCAGCCCAGCCCCAGGCGGCAGCGACTCGAGAAATGATGCATTTCACACTTGCGCATGCGGTTCCTCTCGTCCAATGTCTCGGACCCCTCCACGTACTGGAACCCGTCGAGCAGTCCTCGCACATGCAGGGGGGGAGTACCGGCCGCAGCACCGAGGGTTGCACAAGACCTGTAGGACCCGGAGGACCTGCAGGGACACAAACGGGTTCTCGACTCGGTTCTCGACAGTGGTACTCGGATCGAATCGGGACGAGTCGCGCAACTCAGCCCAGTCCAGACCCTGCCATGGCCAAGTGTGGAGGATCTGACTTTTGAGACGGAACAACAGACGCCTCCGGACTGGGGACCGCTTAGGCTCGGGCTGCCGATTAGGCAGGCTGTGGGGCAAGAGCCAAGGCAAAAAAGCATGTGTGAGCGGGGCAGCAGAGTGGCCAATGGCGGCACCTGCGTTTCCAGGACTCGGCACCAACAAATTCATCACCATGAGGCCTGCATTGCCGCAATAGCTGCAGAGGCAAGGTGTGGATTGTGGCCAGCATATGTAGCGAGCGAGAGAGCGAGCTGAGAGTTCCAGCATCGTCGCCCGACAACTGGTTGCTGCTCGATGCGATGCTTCTGCCTCGGGCTGTCGTCACGAGCTGCGCCAAAACGTGGGGCAGCGCAAACGGGGGGGAAAAAGGTACATTGCACATTGTGCACTGTGCGTGCGGCAGAGTCATGCATGGAAGTCTGGGGTTTCGGCTCGCACATCCGGCCCTCAGGCGACACAGCATTCCCGCGGCATGCACGACATAGAAACAGGCGGCAGAATCAATGAACGGGCGCAGCGCAGCTTACCTCGGTGCTCATGGGCTTGTTGACGGGACCCCACCAGATGTCGTTTTCTGATGACGGCTCCTGGACGATTCGCTTGTCGAGGGGTGAGCGACCAGTCTTCTTTCCGGAGTAGGCAGTCAGGGCACCGCTCGAGGTGATGGCGGAACCCGTCTCGTAGACGAGAGCATCTTCGTAGAGAGCGGCCACTGAGGGGTTGGGGATCTGTGCACATCAGGCTTGTTAGATTTATTGAGAAAAAAAAATCACATGCCCAGCGGGTTCTGTGGTCTTGACGTACAATAGCGACACGGTCGTAGTCAATGTGGGCAGTCTCGTGGAGCTCCTCCTCAAGCTCGGTGTGGTTGTGGTGAGGCCTGGGTAAAGGAATAGATGTAAGCAAAACTGAAGCGACCACATGGCCGGGGGGCCCGGAGGGAGGAGGAGAATCAACTTACTGAACACCGCCAGGGTGTAAAGCGGTCTTGTTGACGTTGCTGGAGATCACTGTCGGCTTGTTAGACCCAGAGCCATGAGAGGCGACGTCATGTTGACGACTTGAGAGACCAAGAAGGGAAGCGACACGAAAAAAAAAGACAAGACAGAGAGGACAAGGAGCTACTCACTCTTGCGCAAATCAGTTCTGGATTCTTGAATCTTGAACCTTGGGCCTTGGACAGAGGGATCAGTGTAAGGAGATGCGGTCCTGGCGATGGGGTCCTTCATCCTTATGTATTCAAATCTTGGGGACCGAGTGTGGTGCTCGATCTCGGCTTGCCTAGGGAATTTTTTCTAATTGAAAGGGGGGTGCCTAGTTGGAGCGGAAGCCAGAGCAACAGAGGAGCAAGGGGGAGGGGTGTGATTCGAGCAGGACGGGTTGAAGTGTCGCGTGTGAAGGAGTTTGTCGATTTGGGGATGACGGCGGCAAGGCTGTGGCGCGGTAGCGTCTCGACTCTTCAATGTTGGCTCCAATGTAATTCAAGGCGCAGTGCACCGGGTGGGATTCTGGGCCAGGTACAGGTACAGGTGCCGGGTACTTGAGCGGCTATACGACAGTCCGGAAACAGTATGTATGTGTACTTGTACTTGGCAAGGGGGGGCGTGGAGCCGAGAGAATGGCGGATTTGCGGATTTGCAGGTGAATATCGTGGAGGAGAAGTAGTAAGTAGTTGGACGCAGTCAGATTGGAATTGCCTTGGGCCGGGTGGTTAATGACGAGACGGGCGGCGACGGAGTGGGGCCAGGGGGCGTCTGGAGAGCGCTTTGAGGGTGGTTTGGCTTCCGACGTCGAGGCAGGTGATGCAAAGGGGACTGGCCACGATATTATACCGGAAGGGCCGCGTTTAGGCTTTGCTGCTTTCTGGCGGGATGGCGGGTGGGCGGCGAGGAGAGCAATTGCTTGGACGAGGATCGGCTTGGGCGTGGAGATGGAGAAGAGGGGGGCGCGTGGGAGCTGGAGGGGCGTCGCGGCCGGGGGGGGGATCAGTGGTCAGTGACTGGATTCAATGTTGATGTCTGGCACGCCAGGCGCTGAAGGCTGACGGGCTGAGTGCTGCTGGAGGTGCTGGAGCTTCAATAGCTGTCCGCTGAAAGTCTGGTGCCCAGGGAGCCGCCACAAGGCGCGACACAGCAACTGGTTGGACGGCGACGGCGCTAGCTTTGGCGAGGCGTGGGGAAATCAGGCTCCAGATGTCCGGGGCTGGGGGCTGGCGCCGCTGAGGAGGAGCGTGGTGTCGTATTATGATTGTGCAGCAACGAGTTGAGCGGCAATGCGTCTCAGACAATAAGTGTTGGCCGGGAGCAGACGGGGAGCTGGAGGCGGGTACAATGGCGCTGTAGCACAAAGCACAGTGGGCATTGACGGTTCAATGCTGGTTCAGGTGTCAGGTATCAGCACTGGGTCAAGTGACCAAGTTCAGACTCGATAGGTAAAGTAAAGTAGGCAACCAACTCGGCGGTGAAGCACAATAATGAAAGGAAGCAGAAGAAAAAATAGAAAGAGGTCGAGATGGAAATGGCCTCCTTTTTAACTTGAATACCATTTACCTCCGACGTTATTGCAAACTTGGAATCTTGCGTCTTGGAATCCTAATGCCATTCACCCGGATTGACTGAATGCATCGTGGTTCGCGCTTGCAATGCGCCGGATGTAGGAACTTTCCGGGACGAAAACCGGACACCAGACAACTGCCGTTCGTTGTGCGGATATCTCAGACGGCAATGGGATGACCGAGCGTACTTGGGTCTGGTGCCTTGGTCTTTGCTTCCGGCTCGCTCTTGGGTCCGGAGGCCAACCGTGCCCAAGATGTCAAGTTGGCTGGCTGTTTAGATCAACTCGACTTGGTAGTTGACCTCGATGTCGACTAACATGATTGATTCAATGTTCAAATGTTGAAGCCAGGATACATGTACATGTCTGGTGGCCCAGGCAGCGGGACTGCGCTGACAGAGCGCTGCGTGGGGAATCTCCAGGCCTGGAATTAGTGGGTTTCCGACAACCCAGGGCCCAGCGCCAGCACCAGTTGACCTCAGGTGCCAACACTCACGTCTGGTTGACATGTGCAACCACTGCAGGTGGTTCTGCGTACAGTGCTACTACTATTGACTTATCGACCTGACCTGATTCGAACATTGAACGGTCGTCCCTGCCGTATTTTGATGCACCTTGTCCGACAGCCAGTGCCGTCCATGAACATTGAATCCATGACGCAACTTGGAGACGCACATGTGCAATTGATGCATCGCCGTCGATGAATCCCATCCCCCTGGTCCCTGTCCCAGTATCCAATGTCCCAACGGCCGCCATCGTCATTCTTCCACCAGCGACAATGTTCCATGCTGTGTATCGGTCACTGTCGGCACACTCGACTCTCGAGCTACAAGCGGCCACTGAGACATGGGATCCCGTCACACAGAGAGAAGAACCAAGACGTCTGAGCCATGCAGGCACCCTGCAACTCGGCCACCCCGTTTCGGCAACATCAGGAACGGTGCTCCGTATCTCTGGCCGAGGAACCGACAGGAACCTGATGGGAACCTGATGGGAGCCCGTTGCACCGTTTTGCAGATGGATCCGAAACGGACCACAAAGAGCCAGGCAACATTGAACGGCATGCAACTCCCGAAGGCCTGGAGCAAAACTCACACCCCCCCTTTTCCCCTTGAAGAAGCCCATCTTCAACTTCAACTCACCTCAAGTGCTGGCCAGCCTCTACGGCCCTGGCGACAAGCTCGACACATGGACAAATATGCATACTTTTCCCGCCCCCGAACCCATGTTTGCATCTCCTCAGCTACACCCAAAGCCAAGAAAGAGGGTACCTGACCGAGGGCACCAAGGCAGCGCGGCCGCTGCGTCGAGATGCGCTACGAGCCGGCGCTGGCGCTGGCGCTGGCGCACGCATAGACATGAATGATTGATGATATGTCTGGTACTAACACCGTTGTTGACACGACACATCACCACACCGCTGGTGAACTGCAACGAATGGAAGCCCAAAGTCGGACAAGGGCACAACTCATACCATGGTGTCGACTGTCGAGTGTGTGCATGTATCGTAATACCCCACGACTCCAGACTCGAGCCAAGCACCCCTCCAGGCCTCGAACCGGTCGAATATCTCGTAACAGAAACAAGTTCGCACACCCGCCTGTGGGGAAGCGCGACGACAACCCTGTTCCTAGGCTGCCCCCTTCCCCGTATGTATAACGGCCATCATTTCTCGCCTGGCCACATGACCAGCAGAGATCTCGCGAGCTCCATTCCTGGCGAGAAGTGAGAGGATGAAGCGTCAGGAATATTGGTTATTCGAGGGCGGGTGGCGTGGGGGCCAGAAGGGGGCAATTTGAATACGGTTCCCAGTCTTATTACTATTCTTGAACCTGTGGCTAGTCTCGATGGTTGATTTATTGTAGTATACTAAATGCTACTACATGCATGTGGTCTGGTGCCTCGTGGTCCGCCGAATCAGCCCGCGCGGGTTGCAGCATCTGAACTTGAACATGGAACCGGCTGATGCACACGCCCCCCGGAGCCCTGGGGGAACAAGTCATTGGTCTTGGTCTTGGGTGACGACTCTGTATACTGCAATGTGTATGTATGTATGACTGTTTGACGCTGTTTTGTCGGGCTATGCCAAGACTGTCGTTGCCACAAACTACAAACCATCGTCTTGACTCTGTAGGTTTGCAAGGTATTCTTGTCTTTTTAAAGAAAGAAAGAAATATTGCTTCCCCGCTTGTCGTCCCCCAAGAGCATTCGTCGCCGTTCAATGCTTGACCGTCGAAATATCCCCTGCAGGCCATGCATCATCCCAGGAATCCGCCATCAGGCATCACCACTACTAAAAAAAAAACTACCCAAGCCCCCTCCAGCTTTTCTCGTCACCGTCACTTTCCAGTCCCAGCGTTTCGTGTCCCAGTCAGTCCTGCATTACATACCCGCCCGCCGCACCTCCGCGACCGTCTCGGCTCCACGGCACCATCCGCAGCAAAGTGCTTTCAGCGACGGCCGATTGGCTGCCCGCGCCGCACCCAGCGCCAGCTCCGACTTGTTCCGGCCGCCGCCTACGCTTTCGTCATGCAAGGAAGGCGCAGAGTACACATGTACGTATCTTTTGTCTTCTTCTCTTCCGGCACAAGACTGCATTCATTTTCGGCGGTCTTGGTCCTTTTTTTTTTTTTCCTTTTCGGCTTCGGAAGAGGGATAATTGTCAGGATGACACTGGGATTACGTGCTCCCTTTGTAATACTCCTTACTGATTGATGATACCTGCACGCCCCCTTGGGAAACTTGCACAGAGGAATGCTTTCACCCCGCGCATCCAACGGCGGTGTCCCTCCTCGACGACCGTTTTTCACGCGCGCTCGCCGTCCCGGGATATTTCCTGCCGCCGAGCACAATATATTTCGCACCGTATTGCGCTCGGCATCTTGGTTTTTTTTTTGTCACTTCGCTGGCTGCACACCCTCTACCTACCTACCGTGCCGTGCCGCCCATCCTTCCCCCTCGGAAAAGGCACAATGCTTGACCGACCGTTTGGCTGTTGTCTGTTTCGCCTGCTCCCTTTTGAATCTTGTTCGCTTCGTATTGCCCATTCCGCTCCTCACACACATACACACACGAATTCGCAGTCCTAATGTAATAATAAAAAACGGTCTATAAAACCGACACCATCTTTCATTCAGCGGCCCGTCTCAGATCTCAAATGGTATAGTTACCTTCCGAATCCGTGTCCCCCTTCCGGCCACGCCCATTCTGGCCGCCGTCCCCACACTCGGGCGTCCACCAGCCACGACTCCCCACTTCTGGCGCCGTTCCGTGTCCCGACTCGGAGGATGGACCCCTCGCGCAGGGGGCCCAACACGGGGATGCACCAGCAGGCTCCCGGTTCTTTTTCGTGCCACTTTGCAACATTTAGTTTTCCCGTACAAGAATTAAAGTTGTGCTGAAGCGAAGGGGGGGGAGGGGGCCAACAAGAAACGAGCCCTATGTATTTTCCCATTGTTTTTCATGAACCTGTCTTTTTTTTTCTGGGTCCCCACAGTGCCGGGATGGACCAGCGTTCCAAAAAAGAAAAAAACCAGGTCCATGACGCACGTCACGATGCTGGTTTTGTGTGCCATTGCACATGTCCATGGAGTCGCGCCGCGTCGCAGCTGCGCCTCTGCACAGTCGGGCTGCCACACAAAACACACGCACCCGCCGCTGGCCTTGCAAAGAGCCGCATCCCGTGTCCTTCCGTGCTTTTTTTTTCCCCTACCAATCGCCCCTGTGTCGTAGATACGAGGCGTATCTGCGAACAAGTCCGGCCGCCCGCCTCGCCCATCACTACTACCAAGCGACTAGGTATTGCACACATGCACTGCGTCCTCATTGGCTACCCATTTTGTGATACCTGATAGTTAGTTACCTTTTACAGGTCTGCGCCCCAAGTGACATGGACCCTCTTGTACACAACATACTTTCGTAGGGGGTGCTATCATGCATCTTTATTATCGAATTGTGCCAAAGGGACGTAGCTTTTGTATCTTTTTTTTTTGAGCTCATCTATGCTTCCAGATTGCCGTGTGTTATCTACCGGAATCCACCTATCCACCTATCCACCTCATCAAATGAAGCCATCTTGCCATATCATTTATTCCCAACGCCGGCTTTCTTTCGTCAAAGATACGCCTCCGTCTGTTCAATGGGAAACCGAGCATCTTCAGCACGCCCGCAATGCCTTTTCTTCTTGTCCCCCCATCTCTTCCTTTCTTGACCCGGAGAGGGGAGCTCTTCGAATCTGATGACTTTATCGAATACAGAAACTCATGGCGGCACCACTACAGAATACCTTCATTTAGTCGCTGTTAGTAATGAGCTTGGTGATCTTGCCAATGGCAATAGTTTGTCCCTATACAGTACAGATAGATTAGTTTCTGCTTGCAGTTACTTGTTTCATCTTGTTTCTGTCCCCTTTCGTTTGTTTGTGTTTGTTTGTTGCACAAGCAAGCAATGACAACGTACCTGATCACGAAGAGTAAAGCGACCCATCTGGGGATAATCCTCAAACTTCTCCACGCAAACAGATCCTGCTCCACCAATCACTTGCATCCGTGCAATGATGCTGTCTCCCTTCTTGGCATGTGTCGGGGGGATTTTGCTCTTTCTGTTGGTATTCTTCTGCAGCTTGTGCAGCAGCGCAGCAAAGGTGACCTCTTCAATGGCCGAGTGCACGTGCAGAACGCAGTTGAACCCAGATGTCAAGATGCTCTTCAAGTCCAGGATACGAATCTGTGCCTCGAACTCGGCCACGCAGTGGACCAGTCTCTTGGGTGAGCAGAGCACGAATCCAGGCAGGATATCTTCTTCCTCTACACCCTTGAGGCGCATTCGTACTTGATCGCCGCACTGCAGAATGGGAACTTCTTCCTCTTGCTCACCGTACTGCGCCGACACCTCCACGGTCTGCTTGCGAGGCATCATGACCAGAGACATGCCCTTCTTGACAACACCGGCCTCAATTTTACCATCCACCATGGTACCCAGATCTCGGTATTTGGCATTGATTGGCATCATGAATGGTGCGTTGATCTTGCGCTCAAGAGCGCTCATGCCGTCCAGATATTCTAGCAGCGACGGACCCTCCCACCACGGTGCAATGCCCTTGGGGAGGCGATCCTTGATGTTGAGTGAAGACTGTGCGGCAACGGGCATGAAAAAGACATCCGTCTTCAGGTTGTAGCCTGTTCCCTTCAGGAACTGAGAGAGCTTGGTTGTGCACTCCGTGTAACGCTCCTGGGACCATTCGACCGTAGGGTCATCCATCTTGTTGATGACGACAATCAACTTGTTGACACCCTGCGTCTTGGCAAGCATAGCATGCTCACGCGTCTGTCCTCCACGTTCAAACCCCGTCTCATATTCACCCTTGCGAGCCGAAATGACCAAAATTCCAACATCGGCTTGTGAGGCGCCACCAATCATGTTGGGCACGTAGGTCTTGTGGCCAGGGGCATCCAGAATGCTGTATCTGCGCTTTTCTGTCTCGAAAAAGCCACGGCCAACTTCGACAGTCTTGCCCTTGGAACGTTCCTCCTTGGTCAGGTCCATGACCCACGACAGATACCAAGACTCTCGGCCGAGATCCTTGGCTTCACGCTTGTACTTGTCCATGGTCCTCTCATCAACCATGCCAGTCGTCCACAAGATGGATCCGCCCAGGGTAGATTTACCAGCATCGACGTGACCAATAAAAATGATATTGACATGCTCCTTTCCGTAGACTTCCTTGAGAGTTTCGTCGTCAACATCGGCTGCCTGTTCCTTGGTAACGGCGTCGACTTCGCGCTGAGCCTTCTTCTCGCCGGGGCCGGATGGACTTGATCGTCCGGAAGATGGAGTTGGGGAGGTCCTGCCAGAGGATTTGCTTGAGGAGGCAGCCTTCCCAGCCTTCTCACCAGTCTTCTCGATAGCTTTGACAGCAGCCGCCTTCTGGCCAGCCTCTGGCTTGTTTGAGGGCTCAGGTTTGGCCTCCTCCTTGTCTTTGGTAGGTGTGGAAGTTCCACTTCCGCCAATCGAAAGGACCTTGGCCTTGGGCTTGGGGGCTGAAGCATCACCGCCGATGCTAAGGACTTTGGGTCCGCCCTCCTTGGTTAGAACCTTGGGGGCAGTCGGTGCGGCTGCAGGAGCAGCAGAGGCGGGAGCTTGTGTGGGTTGCTGCTGGGCCTGGCCCGGTTGACCATACTGAGGGTATCCTCCACCTGAGAACATGGTAGTTAGTTTTGCGCGGGGGACAAATCGAATAGCAGAGGCGGCATACCATATCCCTGGTTATATCCCTGGCTGAAATTGCCGCCATAGCCTCCCTGGTTGTACTGATTGAAGCCTTGCTGCTGACCATATTGGGGATAGTAGCCTTGCTGGTAGTATTGCTGCTGCTGCTGCTGTTGATACTGGTTGGAAAAACCTCCGCCGTATGGCTGGCCAGGCTGGAACGATTGGGCGCCTGGCTGGAAGGAAGCGGCGCCGGGGCGGAATCCGCCTTGACCCTGGCCAGCGTTGACGTTGAGCTGCTGCTGAGCTCTCCGCGAGAGATTCTCGTCTTGTGCGGCGGGATCGTCTTCCCAAGAGTTGAGGTTGGACATGATTATCGGCCGGCGACGGAAACGATGCTGTTTGAAAGAGGTCCTCGGTGGGTCGAAAACAGGAAATGTTGGCGCAGACACGTCTAAATAATGCCCCTCGTTGGTTCCCCGCGTGGCTGCCTGATGAGTTCCCCCCGGTTGGAAAGCTTGAGCCTTGCTTGTGAGTCAAACGAGATGAAACGAACTTGGCCTCTCCGAGATACCCTTGGGCATGGATTTAGGCGGCAAAACGATCGTTCGAGATGATCGGGCCTGGCTATGGTTTCGCCTGAATGCTTTTGGTGGAGGTTGTGAAAATTCGAGCCCCACCAAGATGACGCAGGAAAAGGTGGTGGGCGGGTACAGTGCAGTTTGTGGAGAGTTCCACACTGTCCTCTCTCGTGTGGCAGATGGACAACCATGGACCATTGAACACGTATCGCCTCTAGGTACCTCCACATATATTTTTTGATATAAAGATATCAAAGAATATCCTACAGCCACGCTGCCTGGTGCCGCATAATACCACGGCCTGGAATTTCATGATGGCTGCATAATTTTAACATAACATAACATAGACCTTTAATATTAGCCGCTAGCATAGCGGCATTAATAGCTTCACATACGCACTGTTAACCGTAACTTACACACACACACACACACGTAAGCCACATTAGATTTATATGAGTGGAGTGTCCTTCTGAATTGGGGCTAATGGGAGATACGTGTTTAATGGTGGTTCAGTGAGATTTGGCTCATCGTATAAGCAAGCTATGTAAGCAAGTGTAACTAACGTAACATGTAGTTTTTGAACGTTCTGGTGCTAATATACTGCATTGACCGCGCTTCTTTTCTCCCAATTAAAACCTGCCATTTCATTATCCTTGCCACGCCAATCAATCCCTTGTTTCTCCCATGAAAAATCCCATAAGACCCCGTTGGCGCGTAATTCCTTGCTGTACGCCGCGCTGTATCCTTCGATTCCGTATGCCTCAAAGCTCTATGCAATCTTCCACGCTGCTACCACTACCACCAGCAAATGGCCCCTCGCTTCGCTGCCTCTTCCTGGACTCGGATTCTCTGTCTGGGCCCTCGTTATTGCCATTACCATTGTAAGAACGCTTGCTCGTTTTGCTCGCGGAACTCTCCGACGACGGTGATCTGGAGCTATTTGGATCACCACTTCCGACAAATAAGGAGGAGGATATTTCACTCCGGACAGTTCTCGCCCCTGTGCTAGAACTCTGATGTACAATTTCATCATATCGAGTCGGACTCGCAAAGATGGGGCCCTCCGAGTCACTATTGCTGCTTGGTGGGCTTCCATGTTGTTGGGAGTCTTTGATATGAGCATTGATGGCCCGTATTGCCTCTTCTTCTGGAGATTGACTTTTGCAGTGGTTGTATGTGACCTCCCCAGTTGAGTTACCGCTGTTGCCATTGATAAAGAGCGATTCTTCCTGGGTATTCGAGTTTTCGTTTGTATCAGTTATATTCGCGCCGGTATCTTCAGAGATCGGCTCTGCTTTCATTCCGTCATCCAAAATTGTCTGACTGCTATATTGAGTCAGAGCTTCATTCTGCGTATCATTATATCCATCTTCATCGTCCTCGAGCGTAAGGTCAACAATATTTGGTAAAGAGTTCTCCATGATGTCTCTCTCCAATGTCACTCCGTATTCAGAGTTGGCGTTGTTGGATAGTCTGGGAATCGAGCGTGTCTGTACTCCATGATTCGAGTTGACTGGACTTCCTGGTACAGAAATTGCCTGTTGGTGATTTACCGCAACCGGGCTGCCAGAAAGAATTTGGACCGAGTCCCCGTCACTTGTGTCAGAGTCAGAGTCAGAGTCAGAGTCAGAACCGGATTCCGAACCATCGTCAGCATCAGAATCTTCGTCATCGTGCTCATCCGAGCTGTTTGCACCGCTTGTACCGCTATCACCAACGTTATTATCGTCCTCGTCCTCCCAATCATCGTCGCCGTCTAACAGTTCGTCCTTGAGCTTGGGCAGCGCCAGGGCCATTGTCCGCCAAGCATCTTCCCTTGGATTCAAGCCTGGCATAAGATCAGCAAGGATTCTCAACCTCGCATTGCGCTGGTCTCTCGGATCCTTATGCCCACGCACTGTTCTAGCCACGTCTTGCTGGAACGTCTTGTCTAGCACTTTGCATTTCAGCCCTTGTGCAATCCACTTTGTATGGTCCCAGAATGTGATGCGGCTGATTCCACGGAGACAATAGACATAATCTAGGCCTTGTACTGTTCGAAGCGACCGAAACATACGGTAATTGCGCTGGTGCTGCGTCTTCCATTTCATGTGCTTAATAACAGCACTTATTTCATGTTTTCGGCGCATGTAATAATCTGACGACTCAGGAATGTATATATCGAAGGTAGAAAGTCGATTGGTTTCTGGCAGCCACATCAGAGGCTGAGTTCGCCGAGAAATGTATTTGCCCCGAGGGCTCTTTGGATATGTGAGATATTGGGAACCCATCCATAGGAGCTCAATATGTTGAACCCTTTGGAGCCTGTTTTTGATCCCACTCGCAAAGCAACCCTATTCGCCCAGCGAGGAGAATGCAAAAGTGTTCTCGCCATAAAACAAATGCGCGCCCCAGAATAACCACTTTTTGCACACTACTAATGGTGCTAGTAAATCATTCGGTAACGTGGCATATGTTAAACTCACAGGTGAGTCCCCAATGTGAAATCGACGAAGAGGCTGTGGGCGTTCTGGGTCATTGCCCAGCACACCAGACGACAGAGAAGGCACATGATATGGATCAAGCCTAGTCAAAACATGAACCTTCTTTCCATAAAAGCATAGAAGCATTTGAAGGACACGAAATTGCGCGATGGGCGGCAGCTGGTTGAAGTTGAATACCCCAGTAACCGCTATGGATTCAATAGCACCATCTTCGTCATCATCCTTCTCCCTCAGGACGAGGCCTGGTAGAACCCGGTTTGGGTGCGGCGGTATGTTTAATTCGCGACAACTTAGCTTGTAGATGTCACTATAACATCGTATTCCAGGTGGGAGACGAGTCCTTTGGCCTCGAAGGAAGTGCTTAAGGTACTCTGGCCACATCTATTTTCACACGTGGTTAGACCTTGAAATGAGAAGTCAAGAGAGATACTTACGGCTTTTGTTCGTCTCGGAGGTCCCGATGCGCTGCTCCTTGCAGCAGCAAGGTCAGCCCTAAGCCGCCGATTTTGGGTTTTCAACCCAGCAATCTTTGCCTTCATCCTAGTAATCTTTGCACGAAACCCTGCCACCAACTGCCTCGACTCTCCAATTCTGAACTTTCGAATTTGCGATTTTTCATGTATTTTCTCATATTTCGGTTGGCATGATTGTACGCAATCACCTTGCCAGTCCAACTCCTCATCAGAGTCGGAATCATTGTTGGGGTCGCCATCGTCAAAACAAATGAACTCATCGACTTCTTGGTTAAACTCCTCATCAGAATGACTCTGCTTGAACTTTAGTAAATATATCTCAACCTCCAAGAGACAGAGATGCACTCACACTATCCGAATCGGCTTCAGAACTCTCTGGCTGCCTTTCGGGCGCCTCCTCTGGTGCCTCCTCTGGCGCGCCACCTGAAGTCACTGAATCTGAATCTTCTTGCTCGAGATCTCCAAGTAATGTCTCAATATTCATAGCGCTGTCATCGGCTTGACCTTCGAATGAACTTGTTTCCATAGCATTCCCAGATGGTGTGCTGGTTTCAAATCCAACATCTTCATAGTCATCCTCTACAGCGTCCGCTGTCAGATCAACGACCTCCATAACCTCCATGTTAGATATTTTGGGCAGTAGTGTGATTAAGAAAATAATGTTATGGATTAATGGGTAGGACCGTAACTGCAGCTTATTGAGGGTAAGAGTTGCAGCTTCGTGGATGGAAGAGTGAAGAGATCAAAGGTAAAGTCGACCCAAGTAACTGCCAACCGCCAAAGTAATCTATGTGCACTTTGATAACCGAAAGATAAGAAAAGCACGGTAATGTGATTAAGGAAAAACGTTATGAATTAATGGGTAGGACAGTAACTGCAAGTTGCTGAGAGTAAGAGTTGCAGCTTCGTGGATGGAAGAGTAAAGAGCTTGCTGGAAGTAAGAGTTGCAGCTTACTAGGAGTAAGAGTTGCAGCTCACTAGGAGTAAGAGTTGTAGCTTACTAGGAGTAAGAGTTGTAGCTTACTGGAAGAAGAGTTGCACTGGAAGAAAAGTTGCACTGGAAAAAGAGTTGTAGCTTTGTGGAAAAAGAGTTGCAGCTTTGTGGAAAAAGAGTTGCAGCTTTACAGAAAAAGAGTTGCAGCTTTGTGGAAGAAGAGTTGCAGCTTCGTGGATAGAAGAGTGAAGAGGTCAAAGGTGAAATCGAGTGAAATAGCTCCCCACTGCTTGAGTAATCTATGTGCACAATCATAACCGGAAGATAAGACAAGCGAGAAAAGGGAGAATGATGAGAAAGACACTTATATTAACTGCCAATTATCTCAGACTCAGCAAGCTAGGCTAGTGAGTTGAACAGATATATTTGCTTCCATTCAGTGTTGATGTGGCTGTTTGATTAATAGTTCATGTCTTCTACTTCCGTTTATCTAAACCACCAATTTACAGAGCCATTAAGTCCTCCATCAGAACCCACGCTCTTGACAGAATGCCACCAACCCTCCGGAATGAAGAGCGCGTCGCCAGCGCCGAGCTCAACTTCGTGCAGTTCCTCGAGTGGTGTTTCATTTCCCCAGACTGCGTCATGCAACACCTTTCTCTCATGGCCTTGCATCATATCAGTTGTCCTTATGCGACTATTTCCATGTTGCCGTATTCGGCGCTGGACATGAAAGAATAATTCATCACCTTTAGTTGGCGGTAACAGCCGTACAACTTTCTGGCTATACAACTGGCAAAACAGGTTCGGATTTGGATCTCTATGCAGCGGCGTATAAGTTGGTTCTGTACCCAGCCAGATAGATGAAGCATAAATGTCGCCTTTTCCGGCACCAAGTACGATTTCCGGAGCCGGTAAATCGTCTTGAAGAGGCTGCGGCAAATCAGACAGAGAAGATTGAGCAATATACAAATGCAAAGGGTGTGTGGTAGTTGAGTCCCGAGCCGCGTTGAACTCTAGGGCCTTGATGAGAAGCCTCAAAGGCGCATAGAGTTGAAAGAAGCTCTGGTCCTTCTCGTCAGTTACGGCCGATTGCAGAATTCCTGCCATGATTTGATCAGTCATTTCTGAGCTGGTCATTAGTGCGGCCTGGAATTGAGAGAAGGCATCTTGCTCCCTTTGCGATTTGATCAATTCGTACGGGAAAGGCCATTCTTGGAATCCCTGCACCAGAGATGAAGCGAACGGTAATGTTGAGTGGCTGTCATGTGAGGAAGCGGATCTGTTGAACCATTTACTAAAGGCTGGCAGGCGAGAAGTCGGTGAGCCGCCGTCTTCTCGAAACAAATACGGCTTTCGGGGTATGAACGCTTTCTTCTGAAAGGCTTGGATGTCTGCGTGCGCTTGGGATGATGCGGAGGCGGCCTCGACAGACCGCAGAGGCTGATAAGCACGCCGTGAAGAGATGTGACGCGATCGTCGCCATATTGTGGTAAGCAAGGTGGGACGGTTCATGGCGCATAGATGAAGCAAACATGTAAGAGAGAATGAATTGGATTAGTCGGAACTTTTATACAGGATATTAACAATTAACCCCAACCGGGCTATAATGACAATTGCCACTCACACGCCATGCTTTCGTATGTTGCCAGGCGTTGAGAGTGGTGAGAGAGCATGTCCAAAAAGGGAGGGAGGTCGGAAGTCGGCAAAACCTGGCACCGGAGGCGTCGAGGACGATGGGGCACTGGTTGCATCTCGCCTAGTACCAGCTGGCCGGCCAGGAGGCTCGAGGAAAGAGGCAAGAGCAGCTCAAGCCCACTTGCACAGATTGATGGATGGACCCATTCGACGACCGGCCACCGACGACCGACCACCGCATCGCTAGACCTTGGGCGCGCACGCACTAGCATTGTATTGTCAAATCACAGCTCCTCCAGACGTTTCGCGCGCGCAGATCAAGCAGCGGCATCACGCAGCGGCATCAAGCAGCCTGACGACATCGTCTGGCCACAACTCCATCCGGACCAACTCGCGACCGCGACCGCGACCGCAGCTGCTCGACCTCATCTCACAGACGCCTCGTCCCGTGCATCTGCGGCACGCGTGCCATTTCACCACCCCGCCTCAATCCTGTTTCGAGTCTTGTGGGCAGCCCTGTCGATATCTGCCCCTCCATCTGGATTGCATCATCTGTCCCGTCTTATTGTTCCGTCGTTTTGTCGACAACTGGCCTTGCGGCCATCTCGACTTTCGTCATGTCTACAGACTCGGGCGCGCCTGAGTCGTGGATCTCAAGCTTTTGTGCTCTTCTAGGCCATGAGTATTTCGCCGAGGTATCAGAGGAGTTTATCGAGGATGATTTTAACCTGACGGGTCTTCAGACCCAGGTGGCCATGTATAAGGAAGCATTGGAGGTATGTGGTGCTTGAATTTTAATTTTTTTTTATTCTCTTCAACCCCCCTCCTCACCCCCCCGGCGGGGTGTTCTGGTGCGGGAATGCAGTCTTCGTCAACTAACTCTCCCGTGCTCTTCCGCAGATGATATTGGATGTGGAGCCCGAAGACGATGAAGATGAGGAGGAAGAGGAGGAAGAGGAGGATGATAATGAATCCGGTCTGGGGGATGGCCAAGAGCGAATGGGTGGCCGACCAGGCGAGCGAAGACACCATAGTAGAATGGCCAGCGACTTGTCTGTCATTGAGTCCTCAGCAGAAATGCTTTACGGCCTCATTCACCAACGGTTTATATGCTCGCGTGCTGGAATCCAGCAGATGAGCGAAAAATATGAACTCGGCCACTTTGGATGCTGCCCACGGACCAACTGTGACCAGGCAAGGACGTTGCCCGTCGGACTCTCTGATATACCGGGCGAGGATACCGTCAAGCTGTTCTGCCCGGCTTGCCTGGACGTCTATGTCCCACCAAACAGCCGTTTCCAAACTGTCGACGGAGCATTCTTTGGTCGCACATTCGGCGCCCTTTTCCTTCTTACCTTCCCCGAGTACGACCTCACCAAGAGGGGGGTCGAGGTTCTCTCTTCAGCAACCTCGCGCATAGCAGCTGATGAGGAGCTCGTCAACGGCATGTACACCAGGAACATTGCCCCGGGCCTAGGACCTGGCCGCATCTATGAGCCCAAGATTTATGGCTTCAGAGTTTCAGAGCGGGCTCGATCGGGCCCGCGCATGCAATGGCTACGAGCTCGACCAATCGATGTCAACGACCTTGACGAGTCTCGCATCTACGCTGAACAATGCGCCGAATCCGAGGATGACGACGAATCCATGAACCTTAACGGGAGGGCAATGGTCCGTCGACGACCTCCTGGCAACGCCCGTCTCCGCCAGCGACAAAACCAGAACGGCAGTCCCATGGCTCTATCAACGAACGGCGCCGAATCCGAGCTGTAGGAAGACAAAACAACGACTGCCCCTTCATTCTCCCCACCAGAGGCATGGTGGCGTGTAGCATCCTTGAAGTGTAATACAGATGCCAGTCCTCAGACTAAGGATCGGTAATCACGCCGCCATGCCTCGAGGCGGCGTTCCGTCAATTGGCTTCAGCAGGATCAAGGATTGTCCAAAGCAGGGTCATATATCCCACCCCACAAGCTTCCTCCTACCACGAAGATTCCACCCCTCAATCAAATATAGTGGCATTTGCATAGATGGCGTTGGAGGTGTTGTTCAGTGAATACAATTTGGTCGGTTGGTGAAAGGCGGAAAATAGCAGAAAAGAACAAAAAGGGAGGCATGCTTGCATGACGGGTATATGTACGTGTGTGCGCGCGTGTTGGACTACGCTCAGCGGTAAAACTGGGTGCCTGTCAAAAGCAAGATACGAGTACATTTTCGCGTTTAGACTGCGCGGGCCGGAGGTGTGCGAGGGTCGCTGTTGAATAATTGCACATGGGTATCGGTGTTGTTTATTTGGACGGAAACGGCGTGGCGACGTAACCATAGAGCGATGAGTTTCAAGAGGATTGCACTTTACTTTTTTTTTCACCTTTTTTGATAAAATCACACATCTTCACATGCACATTTCACCTTGCTGCAAATTTTATCTCGCTATTGCATGTGCCAAACTTCAAAAAGTACATAAACATGCTGCAATAATTGGATTTTGCGTTTCATAACCAAACCATGACTAATCCTATCGTAGCGGCGATCCCTTCCCCGGCGTCCAACTCGTGCCACCGCCAAACCCAGACCCGGGCGCCATACCAATAATCTTCCTCACGGGCGTGGACGGTCCTGGCGTGGACGAGTCCACCGGCAACGGCGGAGTGTCCGTCCTCTGGACACCCACGTCATCCTTCCGCGGAGGTTTAAAGTTGACATCTCTTCCGGCGCGATAAATATCCTGCAGCATGGTTTCCAGAATCCCAGCGTCTTCAAACTCTAGATATTTCCGATATAACTTGAGTGCCGTCCGGGAGTCCTCAATCGAGTCGTGCGTTTCCATTTGAATGTCCTCCTTTAGGAGGTACCACGCTAGAAATGCCAACGAGAGCTTCCGAAGTCTCGACTTTAGGAAGAACAGATCGATAGTGTCGATGACCTGAGACTTGGGAACATGGATATTTATAACGCGGAAATCTTGTTTGAGACCGTGGCCGAGGAATTTGCACCCGAGGTTGAGCAGAATCCAGAGTTTCTTGTAGGCCATCTTCAGTGGGAGCAGGCTGTGTTTGGAAATCCGCGGGTCCAGATCTTCTCGGGTTATGCCAGAGTACGAGGTCAGATAATCCACAATGGGCTCTTGTATTAAAATATAGTCGTCGATGAAGGGCCGTCCCTCGTTCTCGCCCTGCCCGCGGACGACAGATGTTCTGGCCAGGGCATAGACAATTGGACGAATCGTCTCTCGTTCGCCGTCCGAGTTCATTTCAATCTCGGGCTGTCGAATGGCGACAAATTCCGTGTCTAGTGCTACTATTGTATCCGGGCCAGGACGCTCAGTCTTCGGATCTAGGATGTGATATGTTTTGGTTTCAGAGTTTGGATTCGGACTGCAGCTCAAGTTAGCTCGGCGTGTCAATAGACACTTGGTATGTAGAAAAAAAATACGCACTACAAATCATGATACAGAATCGAAGTATCCAGCTGATGTTTCCAAGTAGAATCAATTTTGTTGTTCGCTTCTTTGATCTGGAATGATACAACACTAGGGACTTTCCATGACGTGTTGAATGTAAGGGCTTCATCTGTACTGACAGACCTAACTAAGAAGTCGTTGAACAAGTGCCATTGACTTTGTCCGGGAGCTTCTTGCTCGGCGTGTGCAACTGTTTGTTTGTTAGCATTAGCATTAGATAACTTGCACGTCCCATCGGAAGCACTTGCCATTGACCATGGATACCAGGTGCGGCTTTTGCGTTTGGCCACCCTCAATGTTTGTCGCCATTCCGATAAGTGAATATACTGTGATATTATGGATTCCTCGCTGCAAGTGAAGTTTCAGGTCTTCTCCCTCGTAACAGAAGAACTGCCCCTGCTCAACAATGATTCCAATCTCCTCAGGAAGCCAGCCGGGAGTGGACCACAGCATGCGATGGTCGTGACTCGTAATTGCAGTATTCAACATTAAGACTGCCGGGATGTTGTGAATTGTCTTTCTGGTGGCGATAGTTTGATAACGTTGACATCGGCCACACCAACCCTTAGAGGTAGTCTCTCTCTCAACGCTACTCTTAAGAACCTGAGAAAAAGTGACCCTGGGCATTTTGGCGTTTCGTCCAGGAGGTTTCTAGGAAGCTGAATTAGAAGGTTTCGGTACAGAGAGGTATCGCATACTGACAAATGGTGGATAAAGCAAGTCGTTGACATATGTGGAACCTGGTCTTGTATACTCGCTCCTACAATTCATGCATCGAATAGAGCTTGTAGCTGAGGTTGCAAGAATCTGCGGGTTGTCAGGGCCTGTTCAATGTATTCTCAAGGCAATACTAACCTGTTCCATGGCAGATGATGTTGGTGACATACTCTTGTAGTCAGAAACAATCTTATCCAAGAGAAATCTAGTGAGCCCTTGCAGCATGACGTTTAGAGACGAGCCGTGGGGGTCCTCTTCGAGGAGGCCAAGCGGTCCGGCTGATAATGGTTAGCACAGATGACATAGTTAGCACAGCGGGTGACGTGCGGTCTACCTTGTGGGTGGCTACTAAGTGTTCTCAGCAGGTTTGTTGCCTGACAGATTGAGCCGTCCGCTTTTTGTAGCATGTCGAAAAGGAAGCCAAGTTCGCACAGCAAGCAGATTTCACTAACACAGGCCGTAGCCGCATGTTGAAGGGCTAGGTTGCGTATAAGGGGGGTAAAGTGCATGATTTGAAGGAGTGAGTTGGCGTATGAGTTTGAAATATGAATTTCCAAGCCTGAGTAACGAGTTTTGTTGTAGAATCTGAAGTTTGTCAGCAGGCAGTTGGGGAAATAGCACCACAAGCGTTAGTTAACTCACCCAAAATCAAAGTCATCTACTCCGAACTTGCTGTACTTGATTTCAACGTTGCGATACATAACCGGCACGTCTGATTTCTTGCTTTCAATCTCGTTCTCGGCCACTGGGCTAGGAACGTCGTCGGTCTTATCGTCCGTCCTGGAATCGGATATTGCAGACTCTCTGGCTTTCTCACTCAGGAACTTGGGTGCCTTGAGTCCAGAATTGGCAGACTTGTGGCTGTTTCTGGTATCCTCAACCTGGTTCCTCCTGAAGCCTCTCGTGTTGCGGCCGTACAGGCCAAATTCGGTCGGCTTGAGGCTCACGAGAAACTGAGGATCAAACCTGATTGGGGGGGCGCCAACATCCGATACCAGATCCGGCCAGGCCGAGGCCAACACGTCCCGATAGTAGGGCAATCCAACAGAGTTCAGCGGTCTTGAGTAAGAGAAGGTCAGTGTATAATTTAAATACCAGTGGAAGCAGTTCTTACGTTTCAGGGGTCCATTCTATTTGAGGAGCGTGTTCCTCTGGGCTAGCAAACTCGATTGGTGTTGGCAGGTCGACAAAGTGAAGCTTTGAAGGCGATCCCCAAAGGTGTATATAGCACTCAGCATCGGTCAAGGCCATTGATTCTCCAGACGGCGCAATCTCAAACATACTCAGATAGGTCAGGACGTTTGCCTGTCTCACGTTACTTGTGTTGGGGTTCATCAAGTCGACCACATGCATTTGGCCAGACTGTGAGACCACAATACTGGTAGTCAACATTCTTGGATGCATGCGAACGTACGCCGCCCCGGCAGGAAAAGGTATTGGTGGCATTGACGACATCTTTTTAATATCAAACACGTTCAAGAATGGATCGAGCATGTATGTTTGGCCTTGTCGAAGCGAATATCCACATGTAACGATGAAGTCATGCTGGGCATCCATGTCATTGATCAGCGCAGAGTGAGCATTCCAAGACTTGACAACTGCAAAGGACACTGGGTCAAGGAGGTTCACCGTTCCGTTCTTGGTCGCCGCGCAAATATACCTTCCTCGCTTCATGATGGAGTACTGGTGTTCGGTTGCGATCTAGCAGCATTGTCAGTCGCGCGAAACAGCATGGGGCCCAACAGCCACCAACAAACCTGCTTCACGACCTCGCCCTTATTAAGGTCGATGACAAGCATTGTGTCTTGCAATCCCGCAACAATGATCTCGGCCGTCCCTTTGGAAGTAAAGCTCATGCACCGCAGTTCCTTCGTGTCGTCGTGTCTTGTTCCTCTATTAGCACTCTCTTGCCGCGTATGGGGCTGTGAAGTAATTGTAGTTACTTGATGTGCCATATCGGCGGCCCTCTCCTCTGTGCCATGTGAACATCCTTTGACCCCAAGACGATGACGCCCTTGTCGTTGACCAATATTTGTCGTACCGCTCCGTCAGTCGAAAGATGTGCTTTGAAGGAGGTATATCGTTGTAGTTCCGAGCCAAGAAAAGAGGTAACGCGACCCTGCAATGCGGGTCAAAAATTGAACAGTTCGTTGCTGAATATGTCCTATGGATCCATACATAATCGTTTCCAGTCCATAGTAGTTCTTGGAAAGTATCAAAGGTCATCGTAGTTACCGGTGTCGGCATTGCATGGACGCCCGGAGGCGGGAACGGAATGCGGGCGACCTGGGAGCAATCATGTATGCGTTAGCAACCCGTTGAAAAGACGCACGACCTGGCACATTGACATGACCAGCGGGCAGCAGACATCTGGATGTGCGCCGGTGGAACATGTCGGCTCAGCTGCAGAGCGACTGACCTCATCCCAGTCGCCGTCCATTGTTGCTGGCTTGTCATTCTCCGAAGGATGATAAAGTATTGATAAACGATGCCCGAGCACCAGGTGTGCCTGTATGGCTCTGCGACGCTTTGAAACGCAATGCGCCTCACAGGATACTCGTCATCGACGTCCAGGATATTGATGAATGTCGAGATCAAGCAACGGCTAGCCGCCCGACTCGCGCGTGGAGCTGCTTGACGTTGGACTGGAGCTTGTTGGCGGGGCACATGAGGCTGCAGCATGTCTGGTGGCCCAAGAGTCCGTGCTCAATCGATACATGTACGGCGTCGATCCGACAACAATCAAATATGAGAGCTACCCTATACTTTTGCGCATCATTACAATGTTACACCTGTTTGGGCGGGCGAAGAGTTGGAAATCGCTATACGGGGCGAGTGAGCTTTCTTTCTTTCATTTTTATTTTTTTTTAATTTTTTTTTAGCCAATGTCCCGAGACTGGTGCAGGTTGGGTGCTTTCTAGGTGAATCGTAGATCAATCCCCTCGGCAAATTGACCCACCGTTCATACCACGCACTTGCATGGCCTCTCAACATTCATCTCGCCAATAACATCACCCACTCACCAGGCGGACCATACGTGCTAAGAGGTGGCTATTTCAAACATCAGTAAATATACTAGAAACCTATATGTCTATAGAAAAAGTCTAAAATGCCCCCTCCTGACTCGTCGCCAACCCTGTCATGATATTTGGTGTATGACAAAGTTGACCGGCTGGGCATCCCTATCGATGCGTGGTACATCAACAATCTTTTCGCCGGCAGGTTCTATCTCCACAGCCCACTTCGTATTTGTCAAGTACCCAACCTCATCCCAAAGGCGCTGGAAGCTGTCTTTGTCGTGGAGATATGGCGACATATCATTACCCAATGGAGATGGACCCGGCCGAGTGGTGCCAATGTGGCGGCCATAGATGAGGGCATTTTTGGTGCCGCGCTTGAGAAATCCCACCAGTCGTTTGCCAATATAGACTTGCTGAGTCCAGTTGAACAAGTGGAAAAAACTGCCTGCATATATGATGGTAACCTTGTGCAACAGGTCATCTAGCCTGGTGTCATCGGGGTCCAGCATGTCGCCAACAACAAAAGTAGCACCAAATTCGTCTTGATCCTGGAATAGATCGTAGCCGATTTCAACAAACTTGGACTGAACATCAGTTCCGAATAATTGATTTCCTTGCACTCCATCATGACGGAGCTGACGAAGGACCTGTCCCACACAACAACCCAGGTCCAAAAAGGCATCGTTCGATCTGGGCACGTTGAGCCTGAACAGCACCTGTCGATAGCAGGGATCGTTTTGCTCGGTTAGGCGTAGAAATTTCCACCGGCCGACGCAAGGAAATCTTGATACTCTCCACGCATCCTCGCGCTGGCATCGGGTTGTCACTCATCAGCCAACGAGCACTGATTGGCCTTCTCGGTAGAACACACTCACCACTCGTAGAATATGGCTGTCAATATCACTTGCAGGAATCCTGCTGTACACGAGGAGCAGGTTGCGGATGGGACCAATATCGTCGGGCAGATCTGGGATATACGCCCAGCTTTGCGATGCGATGATATCCATCATGTGAGAATGCGGTGGTGAGGGATCCGCGTTTCGGTTCTGCGTGTTTTCAGAGGAAGCCGACTGGGTGTTGACGCGGGTTGGTCATGTTTTATGTCCAAATTGTTGCGTCAATGTTGATTGCCAAAGCGTTCATAGCGCCTGGACAGTCACACTCCCGCCTTGCGGCAAGGAGACGGGCAGGCCGCCGGAAGAAGAGGAAACGAGGAAATTTGGAAGAGAACTGGACTCTGGAAGCAGTGGGACATGAGGCATCTAGCTCGAAGAGACTTGCCAAGAGAGACGGGGACGGCGAAGCGCATGCAACGTTTATAAGCAAACCACATGTGCAGGGCCAACGCAGATTGCGCCGATGGGGCTGGATCGAGGTATCCAATCGGTTCGAACCAGGCCGTGCGATGCAAGGACTTCTCCAGTCATCAGCATCGCCGGGGACTTCTGGACGCACCAGGATATGGACACGGCATCGTCGTGTCGTGAACCAAGGTTGGCTGCAACATGTGGTGATGCGCCCAATTGCCTGGGAGTCGCCGCCACAATGGAGCCTGCAGATGCGACTGCAACCTCGAACAGACAAGAGGCATCTCCGCTCCCTCGGATACCCCCTCGGATACCCAGTTATGCACTCCGTACATTTGTACTATTTATGTATTCGTCCTCGACGCCCGTGTAGTATGGAGCTCGAGAGCTGGGGGCTGGCCGTCCGTCTTGCTCCAACTTCCAACGCGAAATTTGGCCGCCAACTTGCCGGGATGATCTGGTCAGTGGTGCCACAGCTTGTGCCAAAAATACCTAGGTACCTGGGGTCCAGTCTGGCCTGTCTGGCTATCTCGGAACCCAGATGCCCCGTCAGCCACCTAGCGGCCCCGGTAGTTAAGCCGATGATTTGCCGCTCCTCCCGAAAATTCTTCCATCTCCGTGCTCGATCTCAAAGGGTCAAAACCAAACACAACCACGGCGCCGAGTTCTTCCTCTTCCGTTGCGCGACGGGCCCATCGCATTTATCATCCTCCGATCCAGGGAGCTATTGGAGCTGTAAGTTGATGCATCTCACCTTGACCTGTTGATGGCAACTCATCAGCGCTCACCCACCGACTCGCTCGTGTGTTGAGTGTCGCTGTGCTGCAATTTGGAATTTGCTGTTTTGCGGTGGAATCATGCTGGTCGCGCAACCACGCTAACAATGGCCTCAGTGTACTTCAACGCGCCTGTTGACCGATTGTCTGGCGCTTCCGCCCATGCATTGGCAATTCAAGGCCCATATGCCCTGATCGATAGTTAGACCGATATCAAAGTTTCTTTTGGAGCATCAATATCTTGCTGTGCCAGTGAATAGGACCACCACAGCCACCTACCCCAGATTTGGCCGACTCAAGCCGCGAGACTGTTACTTGCGTCGATAGTATACAACACGCGTCGCATCGACATGAGTGCAGGAACAGAAGGCGACGCCGGAGATGCGGCTGAGTTGACCTACCCGTCTCCCGGAGCAGAAGGAATGGAGTCTGGCCCATTCTACCATAACGCTCGCGATGGTGCTCCAGAACACCATGATCAAGCCGAGCAGCAGGTTGCTGACGAGGTGCATGGACAGGGGCATGACCAGACACAAATGTCGGCCCAAGATGATGCTGCATCTCATCACCACGTCTCTAGGCCGGCAAATCTGGAAGAGCTGCAGTTGGCGGCGCAATTGGGCCAAGGCTTGGCTGGCACCTCCATTCTCCCAGCTACCGATCCGAACATGACTGTCGAGGACCCCAACATGCGCAATATCATGCCACACCCAGATCCCGACCACCACCACGCAGCATCTTATGTCCAGGAAGCTCCTCCGCCTGATCCAATGGTTCAGCATCAGATGCCCGTTGCGGTTGGGCCTGCCCTCCCGCCGCAATATGCTATGGGAGACGGCATTCCCCCGCGCAAGAGGTCCAAGGTGTCGCGCGCGTGTGACGAATGTAGGAGAAAAAAGATTAAATGCGATGCACAGTCTGACTCTGGCGAGACGCCGTGCTCCAGTTGCGCGCGGTCATCTATTAGATGCTTGTTCAGTAGAGTACCTCAAAAGCGTGGTCCCAGCAAAGGGTATGGAGGCCAAAACACACCCAACAACAGCGTTACTTTTTTAGCTAATTCGTATTCTAGATACATAAAGGAACTCGCAGACCGAATCCACAGCATCGAAAACAAGTTGGAATCGGAGGGTAATCTTAGCCAAGACGATATTGACAAGTTATTTGCGACGGATCGGTCAAGGCATAGCAATGGCCTCGAAGATTCCACACGAAAACGGCCCTTTTCTAGCATATCTACCGGAGACTACACCACACCAACTACCGTACGCCAAGCACCCTGGGGATCCGAGGCGCGTTCAGCCCAGCCGGCATCCGGACAGGGAGAAGGTCTCGTTCAAGAGTACAACAACAATTCATTGGCACCCCAACCAACACCAATCAAGCCCGATGAGACCCCTATAAAGCCACATGCTGCACCGGCAGATGTACCCATGGTAGATGGAGATGAGGTTCCTGCAGTAGATGAACAGGCCTTCCTGGAGTACGTGCTTGTGTGACTTGGCTTGGTGCTGGCACGATGACAAACTGACATATATTCCAGGTTCCTGGCCTCTGTTCAGCCGCTTTACCCGGTGCTTCCGACCGATCTGGGCAGGCTTCAATCACTGCTATTGCAGACAAACGCAGCAGTTCGATCCGCATTTTCCCTGGCTCTGTCTTGTATTGGCCAGCCATCGTCTGACAGCCCCAAGATTGCCAGTTCCCTGCTTCATGAATGGGAGAGCAACGACTCTCCAAGCAGCCGCGCCACTGATATTGTCCACGCGCAGACGTTACTGATCTTGATCATTGATGCAGATTGGCGGGGAACCTCGAGTCTGCCTTTTCTTCTCGCTCGTGCCGTAGCTCTTGCCAACTCAATGAAGCTGTGGAAATGCTCGCCTGTCGACTCGACGACAGAACCCGACTCTGATGACGAGCTATGCGTCCGAATATGGTGGTCATTGGTGCTGATGGACAGATGGCATGCTGCAGGAACTGGCCAGCCTGCGCAAATTCCCGACAGGAGTGTTGTCGTTCCGGCGAGCCTCGAGAACACAATTGGAGAGGTCTCATTCCACCTCCTTCGTAAGTCAACATTCAATTTGTGTGTGTGTGTGTGTGCAATTGGAACAGTTGGAACAGCACTGACCAGCTCCTGCAGGCCTATCAAAACTTTTGAACCGAATCTCTTTTGTCATATCAACATTGCAGGCTGGGTTATACACTGCCGATGCCTCAATGGCTGCGATCTTGACCGACTATATCGAGAACTACCGGGAAGACCTGCCTGCGCATATTGATGCAGCAGCGTACCCCATGATTCACCTTGCTTACTGGCATTGCCGCCTCCTTGTCACCATGCTCACGCCTGGCGCCACGCCGAAAGAGATTATCTGGCCAACTAAGGAGCTGGCCCACTTGCTGTCTGTGACGCCCGAGTTGAAGGGCCCGTTGTTTAGTCATTTTGTCTCGCTTGCCACCATGTCGCTGAGAAAGTTGGCTAGGACGGAGGCCACGCGGGAGGAGGCGGCGGAAATCATCAAGGAAATCGCAGAGAAGCCTAGCGGAGGTCATTGGGACGGTGTCAAGGACAAGCTTGCGGACGGACTCAGGCCGGCATCGTCTTCTGCGGCCGAAGCGGCAGCCAGCCAAGGACTACAGCACCTTGCGGATCTAGCAACGGCATCTGAGTGTCTCGCGGCAGGAGAAGAGGTCCCTTTTGGAGCCGCTCTTACAACCGGATACTTGGAGGTTGCATCATGAGCACATAACGAGACGACTTCACGGTAAAGCCGACCTTGAGGTACTATTATTCGTCTTGACATGTATGTGAGCTCAATATGTGTGTGGACTGGGTGTTGTAAGGCACACTGCCTTGAAGGCGAGTTATATTACGTTTCGCGTCTCTCAGCATTGTACAATATCGCAACGGAGTTGGACGGTGGGCAAAAGATTCAAGATGTATTAATGATGCGTTTGCTGATGGCATGATGAATCATGTTCCGATTTGGCTTGAAGCTCTGGCGTCAAATACGCCATGTAATTCTAATGTCGTTTTTCAAAGGTCAATATTAGGGACATTACATCTGTAAATGACTAGGCCCCCCATGGCACAGCATATAGTATCACGTTGCCTCGGACAGATTGACGCGCGGGACGGGCACATGCAAACTCGCGGGCATTCAAGACATGTTGGTTTGCGGCTCTTCCCGATCTAGCCCGTCCCATTTACTAAAGTACATATGTACGTGCTTGGTACCCTGGGCCTGTCACCACTTTGAGCGCCTACGTGCATGTACCTATGTACACACACGTCACAAAAGATGGCATAGCCCTGCCTTGCAAACAGCCAATAATCCATCCATCCGCGTGCTTAAAAGAATGCATAAACACAAGTCCCATCAACCCGTCTCCAACCCCGCCAGCAACTCAACCCCCCCCCTCATCCCCCCCCTCATCCGCAAAAGCATTAAACCCAACTGGTTCCCAGCCCAACACACCCATGTCCCTGCGCGTCAAGTGCCCAAACATTCCGCCCAACCTTCTAGAAGCGAGCGGTCGCCCGCCGTCCGAGAACCCCCGCAGACCCTGCCCGTGACACCAGACCCCGCCAAGACCCTCGAAATGCAAACACAAACCGTCGACGGGTCCTCCAGCAATGAAACCCTAAAGTAGTAGAGACTGTCTGTCGTACATGTACCCTCCATGAACCACAGCATGTACAACTACACCACAAGCAGAAGCAGTGTTGCACCAGAGAAATTACACGCGCATCAGCCAGTGCATCTATCTATATATATACACACACATTTAAAACAAGCCCTTTTGTTCATTTCGAACATGTACACACAGTATGGTTCTATGAAATTGCCGACTGACCCGAAAAGCCGCCGAGGAAGGGGGCAAGAATTACGGGTCCCAGCCGTTCGTTCCCCGCAGTGAGCATGGCGTTCTCAATTTCTGGTGAACAGAATACCAGGCCCTAATCTGAAAACACATCGCCCACGTTGTAGTACAATACATTGTACATCACAACGTGGCTAAAGGGGGGCGCAAGACGCTCGACTAACAACTTGACTTTTAGCCAACGTGGTCCACCTGTGCTTTATGTCTAGTTCCCCGTTGAATTTTTTTTTCCCAAGTCGATTAGGGCTAGCGTATATAAATAAATAAACAAGTTAATTAGGGCAAGAAGACAAGTAGGCACAGAGGAGGAGGGCCAAGATGGCTCCCCATGTCAGGGCCATCTTTGCCAGTCTGCGTGCCACCCTCTTCTGGACAAACAATTTGGCTGCCTGATTGCCGTTTTATTCACATTGACGGAAAGACAAGGCTGAGACATGCATGATATGTGTGGGTGAGAATCTGGCCCCAGATGAAGCCAGCAAAACGCCATCTATTGCAAGCTGCAACTCTATATGCGGTCCGGTTCCCATGGTTCAAAACACGCCCGAGGACATACGCACATTGAATATAAAGGGAGCTTGCCAAAGGGAAAAAAAGGTCCCAGGCGACATCCAAAAGTCTATCTACATCTCATATATCCATGTTTTTTTAAATCGTAAATATGCTCCCTCCTTGTTCCGCCTCTTTTTAACATAACCAAAACCCAATTGCACCTGGCCACAAATTTTCTGTAATATTTGTATGTATATCTTGCCCTTCTCAATGCATCATCGTGGGCTCGTAACAGGACGCAGCGCGACTGTATCAAACAACGCGCAAAAAAAAAAAGACAAAACTATCAGACCGATATATATACGCCATATAAAATGAAGTAGCATATGCTCTAACGCTGCCAGGTCCAAAGGAGCCAACACTGAGCCGTACTCCTGACACCATACTCCCCGTGTCTTTCCCCAGCACTGCATCAAATGATGTAGTGTAGGTTCTCGTAGTCTATCCAAAACACCCGACGAAAGGGCCAAAAAAAAAAACGAAATCAAAGCACCAGGGAGCTACCTTGCCTGCAAGGCTTTGCACTGCCAGTTTCCAGTGCGTCACACGCAGCAGTTTGAGAGGGAGCGTCCCACGATGAAAGAGGAACGGAGGAGGCATTGCAACGGCGCCACTCCGAATTTTTTTCTTCGTTTGCTTTTCTTGAAAAGAAAAGGACCGAGAAAAATCCAAGCCAGAGCTCAAATCTGAGATGCAGAAATAAACGTATAGATAGATTGTGTGTGCTCCGCAAGCCGCATGCCGTGGGAATGAGAATCCGCTGAATTCCATGTCGTCTGCGCTGCTGTACCACTGGCGGGGTAATCTCGCATGTCGATAAGGAGAAAACGAAGAAAAAACACAAACTTTTTGTGGTATTTCGTGAGTCATTTCATAGCTCCCAAAAGGTTCCCATGGAAGTTGCTGCCATTTGATCCGGGCTTTCGCCCACCGCAGTGGCGACGCCTTCATTATAGTTGGGCATCCAGAAAGCCGGGTCTTCTTCCACCATGGAAATGGTTCCAACCGCAACATTCTCGGAATTCTTGTTGTAAAAGCTGTCGTAGTCAATACTGGTCAGGTCCGTTGAGCTACCAACAATGTTGGCCTGGCGGATGAAGCTGCTGGTGCCGAAGCCGCCATCCATATCGCCATCTCCGTTGCCTAAAAAGTCCTCGACTTCAGAAACTTCACCCGATGTTGACGTGGTGTTTGCGAGACGGGGAAGCTGCTCCGAGCCACTGCCGAATTCGAAGAGGCCGTTGAAGCTCCGAGTACCAGCTTGGCTGTAGCTTGACGGAGCAAAATTCTCCGGCTTAGCTTCACCGAGGTCATAATGACTCCAGTCGACGGAAGCGGCACTTAGGCCCGCACTGAAGATTGGCCCATCTACTTCTGATGGAACCCCTGAGCTGAACATTTCAAAGCTGCCGTTGTTAACGTATGAAGGGTATTCGATGCCCGACAGATCCAAGGGAGGAAGTCCACTCTGCAAATGGGGGAAGCTGCCACTGGACATCAATGGAGATGCAGTTTCCGACTTGACCCGCCGCTGCTCGAGAGCCGTCGCAGCCCGAGGGCGGTTGCCGAATGAGTCGGGTGCGCGGCCGTCTTGGTATAGCATGCTCTCTGGACTCGCACCGAGGCTACTGGCGCTGTTTGTGGAATTGACCCGATTGAGCTGATATGGCCCGCACTTTTGAGAAGCACGATTGTGCTTGGACGCTGGTTTGTGATTGCCGTTCTGATCAAACGAGAGAACTCCGTCTGAGTGGACAGTGTTGGCTCGTCGTCGTCTGATTGGGGGCTTGGGTCGTGCGGCGGTGGCCAAGGGATCGGGATCCGATTCGGCTTCTGGAACGGTGTCCAAGGTAGGTTCCTTCTTGTGAGCGCAAGTACAGCGCCCACCATGATTGCAGCAACAGGTCTCTATGGATTTCACATCTTGTCAGAACGGGGAGGCGTGAAGAAGAGTGAACAATCGACCCTAGACTAGTCCATGGTGTAGGCTCACCCTTGTGTCCATCCACAGGTTGTTGCAAATGAGCACACTTGCTCGTCTTCTCGCCGCAGTCGCACTTGACATGGGCAGAGCGTGACTTTCGCATCGTGCGGCAGTGGTGGCATTGCGACACAGGACGACCCTTCTTGTTAATGTGTTGCAGCGGGCGATCTAGACGAGCCGAGGGTTAGCAAACAGGACCCGCGAGAAGACAAAAGAAAACAAGAAGAGAAGAGACGAGGAAAACAAGTAAAGCCAGACGGTTCCATTATCAATGGAAATGGGGCGGGACATCGTGGGCTGTCACTGTTGCTGGACAGCCCAGAGCTTGCTGGCGGCTGCCATGCGCCGTCTTGCCATGAAGCCAGGAGGGGTAAGGTGCGCTGTGTAACCAAAGGCATTGAGACTTACCGGAATGTTGACAATTGCTCACACGATGGCCTCGAACACAGGCCTCGCAGGCATACTTCTCGCCGTCTATCAACATTTTTGGCTGCCGCAGTGGTGGGCGTGTGAAAGCAAGGGCGTTTGTGAGGATGTTGAGGAGGACAGAAACGAGGCAAGGCAAAGAGACCTTCGGCCAGCGGAAGGGGGCGCGAATGCTCAATTGTGTGAGTGAGTGAGTGGGAGCGATGACGGTGGCACTGAGCGTAGTAAGCCGGATCCGTGGTCTTGGCCTGGGCTGGTTCCTTCCGATGGATGCGCTGCGGTCAGAAGCCCAGGGTTCAATGGTCCCGACATGGACTCAGGGTCACTGATCAGTGACGGCTGTTGGGGTTCCTGTGGTTGTGTCCACTGGCGGTCCTGTGGCGCCGGCGCTGTGCCGGTGCTGTGCAGCGTGGGCAAGGCTGGGGCGGCGCTTGCCTGCAGGCTGGTGTGTCTCAGGATGGCGGATGGCGGATGGCTGTCGGCGGGTCGGGGGCCAAGTGAGGCAAGTGAGCGGCTGGGTCAGACAGCTCAACAGGTCAACCGGCAAGCCTCCCAAAGATGTGGCACTGGGTCGAGCGCACCAGACCAGGTCCACAGGCACTCCGTACTCCGTGACCCTGAACAAGCCCGCCAAAAGACTGGAGACGACTCCGTACAGGCTGGAGACTGGAGACACTGGAGACACCAGACACAAATGGAGACGGGCGCTGCCAGTGAGAAGAAGGCCCTATTGTAGGCTGCTAGGGTCTCAGTTCCTCCCAGGTTCCTTGTCTCCGACCGAGCCCAGGGTCCCACGGGGCTTCCGTTTCGAGGAGGAACCGCAGAGGCAAAGACGGTTGGTTGTTGTGTGTATGTATGTCAAGTACGTAGTACGGAGTACTCTGGGGGACACAAC